ACGCTCTTAATTAAAACAAATGCTCACAATTTTTATGTTAATGTACTTCATATGATTCGCAGAGTTAATGACTTGGCATGAGAATGGTAGAAACGTTTTATTTTTTAAATTATGTACCTAACTATTTGTTATTCTTTACGTATCTGAGATTAGTCAGCGAAAACTATCAACTAAACGAATTTAACTATTTATCAGTTAGTTTATCAAACTATTTATTGCTAAGGCCCGGCGCCAGCTATCGGTACGGCATGGCGGGTCAAAACTGACAAGGTACACCTCAGCATACCTCGAAAGTCTTCGGTAGCATGAAGCATACCTAAGGACGCCGCGGTTTACCTTGGAAGTATTCGGCAGCGTAAGACGTACCTAAGGACGCATCGGTATACCTCGGAAGGCAAACCTAAAGGATGATGAAGCAACCCTCGGCTAGTTTCAGCAGTCCTTAGGACACCGAGTCAAAACTGGGCATCCTTTCTGACAAAGCCTTTCTGGCTTTTAGTTCCTCTTTTTCATCAGCAAGAATAGCAATGAGTACTAGGTCCCGATCTAACATTATGAACACGATTATTCGCTTGCAACGTTGCCACTTTTTTAAATTTACCTAGGGGTCACGCTGTTGCGGCATGCTCGGCATGACCGAGAATTCCTCGGCTTTCCTAAGCAGATATCGGCATGCCTGAGAACTCATCGGCAAGCCTGAGAGCTCCTCCGCATTCCTAAGCACAGCTTCCCCATGATAACATAGTTGTAAAATGATTGTTCTAACCAATTTATGGACCAATGTCTAAAAATATATTATTTTTATTATTACATACGAGTATGACTAATTCTTCGGGGATTGAATCGTGAGTGTATGAAATGCTGTATCGGATATTCTACCTAAACATGTAACTACCTAAGTTAAAACATAAGACAAATTGTTACGATGTACGAGGGGTAAGAAGATATTAATCAGGTGCAGCACAAATACATATCAGGTTTTTAGAATACAAAACAGTTCACCAGTTAACACGAGGTGCGTTCGCAAATGTTAAGTCTATTGTTACGGTTAAGAGTGTTTAGACAGCGCGATTCACAACAAGTCTCTGTTTCACAAACAATGCTCAGAGACATTACACTCATTCAAGGAAACTCGCCGACTGTGGAGTAACATGAAGTCAATGGAAAAACGCTCGTGGGGAAGAGCTAGACTTTCAAGTTTCTATACTTCTCTAAATAAGACCTCACCAAAGACGAGTTCAACACTATACAATCACACAATACGACTATGCATTTAAAAACAAAATTAAGTTAATTTACATATTTGCACATACATTATTGTTAAAAATACATCAAACCTGTACCTTGCTGTACAAGGTACCTTGCAATAAGACAATTATAGTTTAGTTATATAATTGAAATACGCACTGCATTACGTTCCCCTTTTGAATAAAACGGCAGAAGAAAATGGCAGAAGCTGTTACATTGAGAATGCTAAGAAGAAATTCTTTGGAAGAGCTATGTTCAGCAATCAATGTCCCATTGTGGAAGCAAATATTGAGATGGTGTCTACATGATTGTAACTTTCCATTGCTTATTGATAATATTTCTTAGTAGTTTTACTGATAATGTATCATTACATTTCTCCAAAAAGAATTTATTCATCTTTTGAATTAGTAAACAGCATCTTTATTTACTTGTTAATAAGATATTTAAACTGATACAGACGCTTATTTTTTTGCGCAAAATTTAAATCTACTGAAAAAAAAAAACTATACGAATATAAGGTGTACATTCAACAGCAAATTACCCCATGTCATCCTTAATTTCCTTTTCAATCCAGCGGTTGCCTGGAAGAGATCGCCAATCGCGATACCTGTCCACGATGCTTGTGTGTGATTCTTATGAATCATAAATAAGCACAAACAACTACGAAAACCACATGACTAAACCTTCGTAAAGAATAGTAGAGTACCGTTTTACTAAATCCGGCGTCACTTGTCTCGGGAGCTACCATGCGTACATTCTCCAACGCACTTTTGTTTATGTAACGAGAATCGTATTCCAACAACATATGATGGAGAAGAATAGGTCTGGTGATGGAAAGTTGCGGACAGAAAACTTTACATAATAATCAGAATTAATTACATAACAACGTAAGGTGGAAGGGGAAATTCCCCTTGTTTACAATATAAAAAAAATATTAATTGTGTAGAGTATTACACATACAGCCTGATAATCTATTGCAGGCAGTTAACTAATAAGTTTTCATGCGTTGCATTATTATCTGCACAAGTGTGCATCGTGAATTCCATTCATATCGATTATCTGGCATTAAAAGCATATTGTCTATGTGTTTCTTAGAAAAACCATTAAGCCGTTTTATGAGTAATATTGTATTTGACTAGTATCTCTCATAGAAAATGGCTTTCAGTTTTCAATTGTATTTATAACATATAGCTACCATTTATAACATTTGTGTACACGTACGTATGTTTAGAAAAATGTTATAAAATCATTTATTTACTTATCGAGTTTTTCGATTTTTACACTCAAGACTCCCAAATATTTTGTTCTGTAACTTTAAATATTACGAAAAAACACTAGTTTCAAGTTATTTATTGCTTTCTGTTTTCCCTAATAAATAATGGGAAGAAATAATCGAAGTATCTAAATTGGAAATCAGAAAATTCTAACTTCCAGAAATATAAACTAAAGTACTTAAATTAAAATAACAGACGGGCATCGACATAGCATGCTCAATCTAGGGATTGATCGAAGCTGGAGTTAGGAATGTATGGTTTTATAATATGTAGGTATAAATATAACCTTGCCACCTTAAAATTATTCTCCTATTTCATAATTCACTCGCTTTATTTATTAGTACTTTATTTGTAGTAGCAATTTTTAAGGGTTATTGTGGCTGCAAAGGTTTTTACAGATTCGATGCTTTCGTTTTCATTCATTCTTAAACTAATAAATTCATTTAACGAAACCCTTTTGATCTAAAATATCTAAAAACCAATCACAATTAGATTATCACGCAACTGTAAAAACTCCGATCGTAAGATGGTTAACAACAAAGTGCTCGATTTCAGGGTTAGCTCTAGGCTATTTTGTTGGCACATCTCCATGTTGCCACTGCTGTAGGTATGTAATAATATGTGACGGCGAATAAGAAAATCTGCTGACTACAATATGCTTTGGCGCTTGATCGGGGATTCCGATTTATACATGACGTCAATCTTTGAAAACCTACACTGAAGACCCCTCACCATGATAAAAAGAATCCAGATCAATCATCTGGAAGTTTAAATAAATATAATCCCAATAGCTTTTTTTCTGTCTTGAAGGTTTTTATTGAAGACTGCTCTGACAGCGAAGAATATTTCTGTTTATTAATTCATAATCCCGAATAGAGTATTTTCAACAAGGTTCCAAAAATAGATAAGTTACCTCAGTCGCGTAAGGAGTTGATCACGATTTTGATGTTTGGGAATTCGAAAGAAGAGGGATTATGTTTCTTAGACAAGTCTAGACTTGTGAAATAATATCCCTATCCATAAAGAAAAACGGCAAGAGACAGAATCTCTTCAGAAGGAACGCCGTGAAATAATGATCAGTTTTGCTTTTGGCAGAACGCTATGTCGAATAAAAAATCGGTCGTCGGTCGCGCAATTTCGTGGGATTTGGGATATAAAGTATAACTTACTAAAAATGTACAAACCTACGAGTTAGTAATTCGCGAAAAAGATAAACCGCTTCACAAGGCAGAGATTTAACAACGGAAACACTGTACTCTGTTACTCGTAAATTCTGACATAACTTCTTTAGACGCGTTCGCGTGGGCGTGGTTTCCGGATATTTAAAAAAAAATAGGAAAAGTAACCAAAATAATTTAGTTCAAAAATCAAAGTTCTTTTAACTTTTAATTAATATTAATAAAGTTTCCTTTTTCACCACAATAATAAAATAATAAGTAACAAACCAATTGTTGACATAGTTAAATAAATATTTATCTCCCTAAAAAAGGTTCGCGTTTAAATATGAGTCATATAAAAGCAATGTTTGTTTACTCTGAGAAGAGGGATTTACAAATAAAAACTAAATACTTAAGTGAGAATATCTATTTAAAGATGAACTTAAACATTGACTTAAAATATAGGCCAAATGAGGTGCCGTGTGCGGCACGCGGGAATATATCGCTAAAATATAATCGGGTTTTCTTTGGATTTTAGTATTCTAGTCTAAGCCAAATTTAAGAAATAGCATCACTAATAAATACTATCCAGAAGGCATTTCAAACATAACCTAATTAGTATATCAAAAAGCTATATCAGGTGCTAACAAATGAATATTGCAATGTATCTATCACAGACAAGATTTCATGTTTAATACATTAACATAGTCATGCCAAAGGAACAAAAAAATGTACATAGACAATTAGATATTTTCTGAGAATATTTTTTCAAAGGTGCCACTTTGCCATATCTTTTCAGTATATTTTTGTTGAACTATTTTATGGTATTTCATAACTTCAGCTGAATTCACAAAAATAGTTTTCGGTAAATTTATTTTTTACAACATTTTTCTAAGATAACTAATAATTATCATGGTTTAAAGTAATTAACTAATAACCTGTGTGATACAGGTTGATAATTAAGATTAGTAACAAATGAACATTTGATATAAAAACTTTGACTTTCTTATCTACACTCACCAGTCAAATATTTATCATAATCATGAAATAACTTTGAGATTAATTACCACATTAATTATTTTAAATAAAATGTGATAACATGTGACTATAATATTGTCTTAATTACATATAATGTATGAAACATTTTATTACACTATATACACAAATGACTGTCCGACTTGATACCAAGGAAAAAATTATATTTTTGGAAATAATTTAATAAAAATCTAACATAACGGCCATTTTTAAAAACAATCTTTGAAGAGTTTATCTAGGTACTATAAATTAATAATAAAAAATATTTAATTGTGTAAATTCTCACCTGGTGGACTATCAGTGAGGATAGTTATTCCTGTGGGATCTACATGAGGTGGAAATGCCTCGTACAAGTCGGGCTCCTCTTCTAACACCGCCGACAACATCACGGAGGGCATACCGGCACCACCGTCTCACACACACACACGCACTATGACTAGACACTGCACAACACTACACTTGACTCGACCAGTGTCTGTAGCTCACTCGGAGCTCACACCCGTGAGCCACCCCGAGCCATAACTGACAACCATGTACATATGAGTCTGACTTTTCTAAGTCAAATCTTGCTGCACCATTTTTAAATCTGCAAAAAGGACACAGTTCAAATCACTGCAGTGATAATCTGAATATGTATGTTACACAGTCTATATGTGGAACAAGACTATCAACATTAAAATGATCGAGCGATTTTACTAGCGGCGATAACGATATCTTTAGCAGACTGTGAATCAATTAGTTACCTAATTCGTTATAATTAAAACGCTACAGATCAGCTGATTGTTACAGTGCCAGGCCAGACTTGACATTTTATAGCTATTTTAAGACTTACGGGCACCTGATCGGGCTGGCTTCAATGTCAGATGCCAAGTACGAAAATTTTAAACTCATTACAACAACTAAATACTCGTATTAATTGTATGAAAAGGTTACAGGAACGTATCGGCACCGTACTCACCGCAATCCTGACGATAAATGATGCGAAGCAGGATCTGCGCCTCCGTATTTACCGCTTTGGAGTCCCCGCGGCGACTAAACCAAGTGGCCAGTTCCCGACCCAACGTAATCACGAATAGGATAATAGTCTCGAATGGGAGCCAACGGTTTTGCTTTGTCACTTAAACGAACAACACAGTACATCACACAGATATATCGCTAACTGACCAAACGCACGGATACATTGTTATAAATTCAATGTTATGAGGGATAATTTGCGAGCCCCCTTTGCTTTCGTTAATCAAATTATCGATGTATCCGGTGAAAGTCGTTTTCGTGTTTATGCGGTTAATCGCGACTGTGAAGAAAATGGTGTGGTATTTGTTAATTTTCGTTTATATGGGAAAAAACCCCTCGTAGAAAGAGATCGCACGTCCGCGATATCCACGATTTGCGAGAAGTCGAGAACGCGATTCTCTCTTCGCACGCTCGTCGGACCGACGAACAGGAAGAACATAGACTAGCTAGCTAGCACTTGGAACAGAGACACGTCAGTGTTTTAGTTATTATCTAACCGATCCGAAAAAACTTTTAGTGATAACGATAAATTTTTGATAACACCTGAGGTAAAAAACATTAGTAAATAATGAAAAAACCTTTCTTTAAATTATTCATAAGTTAAAAAATAAATTATGAAACTAAGTTTTAATCTTGGAACATAATACTCAAGTAATTAATGTACTGAAACATAACTTGGTGATCCTGTATTGTGTACATAGAACATATATGTACTTGAATTCTATACAGAACATAAATGAAAAAGTATTTATATTAAAGACAAATTGACAAAATTTTTCGTTATTAAAACATTATTACAAAACAGTATAGTTGGTAGTTACTATTTGTTTATGAAGTGTAATTTAGATAATAATGATATTAAATCTCGTACGCGGCCGTCTGCTCCCAAACTAGGCAGAGCCTATGATATGGTAACCAGACTACTGATGAACACCCTTATATATTTGAAATATATCAATGTTATAGATAAATTACTCCCAGACACTGAACAAATGACTTTGCTCATCACACAATATTTTTCCAAGGTGGGAATCGACCTGCGGCTTAGCAGTCAGGGTCACTAACCACTAGACCAACAGGCCCGTCATAATAAGTTATGCGTTTTTTAATGAACGATTTACTTAATAACTATACTTTTCTGAATAACTTAATCTTTGGCATAAAATTCTAAATGTCTTTGTTTTGAACACATTTTTCAATAGGGCAATGTAATTATTTAATGTCAATAATAAGGGCACTTGCCGAACGGATTAAAATTATTTATAAGTAATTTAATCACCGTTTAAAAAATAGTGAATGAAAGTAAAAAAATATTAACTATATTGTCCAATCAAATAACCATCATAAGGTATCGTTTTAATTGTTAGACGTTTCTCTAAAGTTACACAGTTTTAAAATGTTACATCAATTAATATTTCACACTGTGAAATTCATCGTTACATTTATTTACTAATAGACTTGTAATTGTGTGGAAAGATATGAATATTTGAATTATTTTTGACAAAATTGAATTTACAAATATTCATTTCTTAGATAGAGATTGGTGTAAAAAGAGCTTTAGACCATAGACAACTATCATTTAGAAATCGTACTAGAATAGTAGAAATACAACGAATGCATTAGAAGAAATTTAATAAAGTCGACTACTCTTCTGAATCACTCCAAAATTTTGAAAAGGCGTATTGTACAGGAAAGTATAACAATACCTTTTTGGACCTAAAAGTTACGGTACTTATTTATACAATATAACAGGTTTTTTCCGGAGACTACAAACTAAACAAATAAATGTTCCACCCCAAGTAGAGCGAACCCATATACATGCGAACGCGTGGCGACGCAGCAAAAACGTCAATTCATAGTCCATGCTCTTATGGCCCATTGACGAAGTACCGATATGCAACTGCATGAATTACGCGCAATCGCTGTTTATAAAAAATGAAGGTAACTCGAAACCATAGTCGCGATAAGCCTATCAGAAAAGGGTAAGAGAAACGGTAGAGGTAACTATAGTTTAGGGTCGAAAATCATAGTGTTAGTAGTAATGTTTTGAAAGATTATGACTTCTTGTTGTTATTTGTGAATTTTGTAATTCAATTACACTATATTCATATTATTATGACGATGCCAGATGTATTTTAACAACTTACTACTATTGGTATTGGTATTGGTTGTGGGCTTCGGTTTCCGCATTTGGACTCAAGAGTGGTCCTTTATGCGTCGAGGATTAGTTAGCTAGGTGAGCCAACCAAGCTCCTTCCAGAAGCGTAGAAAACTAACTACTAATTACTTTTTTAAAAGAATAGTAAGCTTGGTAGAATTCTTCGTTTCATAAAGTATTATATAACAAGAAATAAAAAACTTGCAAGTTTTTGTAATATTGTAACCCTTCAGTTTGAAGTGTCATTGACAAGTACTTGCACAGGTAGGGAAGATCGTCATTATAGAAATATCAATATAGAAATCGATTTTATTAAATAATTTAAAAAATCGATTTAATGAAAGCACGAGTAGAATACTTACTTGTTTTAAAAGATTGATGTTTCCGGAGTAAAAAGAATAACATATAATTATTCTGTTCGTGTGTATGTGATTGAACTCCTCCTAAACCGCTGGACCGATATTGATAAAATTAAAAAATGTGCGATTCTTAGACTCCCTTTAACATACTTTTGTCCCTTTTCACGAAATCTCTGCCTCACTGTGCAGGAAAGCGAAACTAAAGATGTTAAATATCAATAACAATACTTGAATGAACGAGTGTCCATCTTTCGATATTTTGCTTATTTTGAATCGATTTGGTCTCAGATGATTATTAAACATCGTTATTGCCCCGCTCAACGTTGAAGTTTTTTGACATCGACAATCGACAAATATCGCGCATCCTTACGCACGGACACAGCTGTGTCATGTTCATGTTTTCGTTAAGAACTTCCAGAGTATAATAATTACAATTCTAGAACTTTAGATTTGATATTATTATTATTTCTAATTGACTTTGTTGATATGTGAAAACAGAATGTCTTCATCTAAAATTGAATCTCTAAAAGGTAAGAAAGAATTTGTTTGTTTACTTCTAGGGCTTCGAAAAATCCGTCATATTTTTTGTTATCATAAAAACCTATTGTAATATATTTACAGATACAGTGACAGTGCTTATAAACGCTGCGGGTGATAGTGAGAATGCCGTTAATAACGTTGTGATTAAGTCGTTGACTAAAATAGCGAATTCATACCCAAATGAGGTGATAGAAATATTTTGTGAATTCTACACTAACACCGTAAGATGGAACCCGGTCCAATTGGGAAACATTGTGAAGTAAGTGATTTATAATATGAAAGTAATCTGTGTTATGGCGAAAGCTCCGATAAATTGTTGGGACTAGTACCGGCCGTAGTTTTCCGTTACCGTCAAATGCGCGTTAACAACTGCTCTGTGCGTTTTTAGGAAGCGTATTTAATATCGTATTATGCAAACCTTCCAGAAAATAGTGCACTTCCATCTCAAAGGCTGGCAACTAGGCATGGGATAAAATCACAATCAGCAGTGATTAATCATATGATTTAAAATCATTTTATCAAACCTGTGACTCATTTACAGCATCACTGCAACTTATTATTGTTACCACCAGACATGCAAAAGGTCTAAATCTAAAAAAAGGTGCTTTATGACCAAATCTGATCAAAATCAATCACTTTTTTAAATGAATATGGTTTAAAAGTAGCAATAATTCCCATGTCTACTGGCAACTCACCTGTGACTCTTGAGTTAAAAGTGTCCTTAGGTGGCATTATGAGCCGTCTACTCCTTTGCCCCCCATGATATAAAAAAAGAAGAAACTAGATTAATTTTCTGTATCCCTAATAATTTGTAGAAAAAGTAACAAAAAATATATTAACAGTAAAGTGCCAAAAACTCATGAAATTAAAAATATATAGAAAATGGCTTGAAATACTTATTTGAGAATATAATGAAAGTGATTTATTATATTTATTATTTTAACTTATTATTTTGTTGTATAAATGTGTGTTGACAGTAGTGAAGTAGTCATTTAGTTGTCAGTAAGTCTAATAATAAAAAATACACATTATTTGGTAGTTGTTTGTATTTATATGCTAAAGCTGCTAGATCTAAAAATAGACCTAAAGGCGAATTCTTATAACAAAGTTCGGTCACAATTCCGATCAACTTTCGATCTCAACTGTCATTTAAGATTATTTCGTAATAAAATATTAAAGTATTACTAAGACTAGCAATTACCGATTCAATTTTCGGTTACAATACGATATAATCACATTACAGTCAATTTTGGATTCCATCTGTAATTTGATGTACCTACATTCATAGCAAATAAACTTTGATTTGATTTTTTGATTTTGATGTTAAATAATTTATTACGTAAATACCTTTGATCGGAACTGAATTGAGACTGAACTTTTATTACGAGAATTGGCCTTCTGGGAGATTCAATTTAAATATGCAAATAATGGACTGAGACTGAATTTTTAGAAAAACAAATTTTCTGCAAGCAGGTTTCGTTATCATAGCATCGCCCATAAACCTGATACTTATTTAAGTAATTCAGAATTGATTTTCTCAAATGTAAAGATTGTATAGCTGATAAAAAAACTTACATGGATACAGAATTATACTAAGATGGGTATAATTAATAATCTATACAAATAAATAAAATTGAAGTGCCTGTTTGTAATGTTAAAATAATAGGTTTTTTTCTTGTTCAGTAACTTAGGCTATTTTTCCTCTCAGAAAAACCCTATAAAACTTCCGGTCCGTTAATCCAACCCACTAAGGCAGTGGTTTCCAAATTCCATACGAACATACTCGCGGGTACAAGCTAGTAATAAAATATCTGTCATAACATTTATAGAAACCTGGTAAATAACATAATATTAGCATATTAATGCTGTCATTCTATTTTTCTGTTGTCTTGTTTCGTAGTCAAAATAACCTATTAATATTGAAACTGTTTGATGACATATAAATTGTTTTAACAAAATTATGTTAAATGAAAAAAGCATAAAAAAATGTGTCTTCAAGGTAATTTTGAAACCTAATATAGTAATGGTTTTGCTATATGTTACATGCCTGTAAAACTTTAACTCTTCTGATGGTCTAGTGGAGGTCTTGGGTTCGATTCCCACCCAGGATAAATGTTGTGTAATGAGCATGGTCAATTGTTCTGTGTTAGTAGTCTGGTTACCATAGCACAGGCTTTGCCTAGTTTAGGATCAGACGGCCGTGTGTGAGATATGTGAGGTATATTAAATTATTTCTCACTTAAACCACCATTACCATTATTAACTTCCATTAAACCAAAATAAAATGGTTTTTCTTATTACTGTATCTATTTGACACTATTCTTAACCAATTTTTTCATCGCTTATCATGGAGTGAGTTAGGTAACTGGAGCTCACATGTTGTAAACCATATGATTTAGAAATCATATCATCACACCTGTGATTGATTTACAAAACCACTGCTACTTTATTATTATTATTACATTAGCGCAAGACTACTATACTACTATATATATAAAATATTATTATTTATAACTTTTTGCACAAGTACACGCATCGGCTGACTTAATGTCTAAGGCATTCTCTGCCAGTCGACCGATAATAAAAATCTTAGTTAAAAAGAATTTTGATTTGATTTTAATGCCTCTTATCTTTGTCCATGACGAAATCACAATCACATGTGAAATCGCTGTGACTAAAACAAATAATTTCAGCAAATGAATATGATTTAAAAGTAGCAATATTATCCATCTCTATTTACCATCAGGTGACTCATCTACTAAAAAAACCTTGGAATGATCAAACAATAATAGAGAATTGTGGATACATTTTTTAATCACGCGTGAGAGGAAACCCACCAAAACTGCCTCAAAACTATCAAACCTCTGACTGGTACTGGTATGAGACGGCGTAATGCTTTAAGCGGTCGCCACGCCGCTTACTACTGCGCTGAGTGAGTGTTGTGGGCTCGATCTCCAAATGGGACAACACTTGTGTGATCCACAAATTGTTGGTCTGAGTGTTCTTTGTGTCTATTTTATGTATGTTTGTATAGTCCCCTGCAAAAGTCCTAATGCGGGTTGTCTTTTAAAGTTTTTATTGAATACATTTATGTTTGACGATGTTGTGCTAAAATATAAAATTCACAAACAAGCTAAAATTGGAGTATTCACGCTCAATTGGTATTAATAATATTTCAAAAAAACAAATTGTTATTACAATGATACGAAATCCTTTTTGCACAACAACTACGTATATGAGTTTTTTCACAATCATTTTGGCAAGGTAATTGACATTAATAATTTGGTAAAATCATTTTTACAAAACACAGTTCAGTTACAAACAAAGTAATAAAATTGTAAAAGCTAAGTTGTTCCTAGTTAAACATACACAAAGGTATATATTATTATTAGTATCTATTGATTCTATAATGGTTGGTAATTTGGTTGATTACCTACTTACTGAGGTTGTGTTCACATTTTTTTTTTGTGTTGGCAGTCATTTAGATTTGAGGGTTTATACATAGGAGTATAGATAGTTCACAAAAACGTAAAAAATAAAGACCACAAAAAAGTGTCTTATATTTTACATCTAAAAACCTAAAGATTTATATCTGTCTGAATCATATTCCTCATGGAGAGTTCAAGAGTCTAACTGCCTGTTTTAAGAAAAATAACATTTATTGCTTTCCTTAAGGATACCTTTTTATAAAATGCTGTTATTATTTTGCAGAGTTCTAGAACAGACATGTGTAAATCAAGTAAAGAGACTAGAGCCAGCTGTGGCAACCAACCTGGTGACAGCAATGCTTCGAGCTATGATGGAAAATGTAGGGTACGAACCTGTGGTGCAGATGGGAGCTTCTGCAGTACTTGTTGCTGTAGGGCATGAAAATTTAGACTTGGTAAATATTTATCTAACACACAGTGATGAATTCTGATTTGGGGAGTCAGTAATGGTTTTGGGTTATTTAGTCTTGGAGGAATGCTTAGGTCTGTATGCGTATTTGATTTTACAAGCAGTTTGTTTCATTTCTCAATGTCTTCATAAGGGTTCTTTTTTATCTTCTCTTTAACTTCCTTAAAAATAAAAAGTTTAAGAAAAACGCATAAGAATAAAATTTTTGATTGTTAACTCTAGGAAATTTCGTACAAGGAAAAAAAACACATTTTTCATTGACTATTTGCCATATAAGACAATATCATTTGTGATGCAGAGTATACTATGGTCTTTTTAACTGTATGTGACAGGTCTCTTCGGCATAGGAAATAACTCAAGTTGCTTGGAGCTCCTCAAGTAATATTAAACAGACCTACTTCTTTGATTCTTAAACTTCTGGTGTAATGCTGTGATTTCCAGTATAGAAATCTTCGTTAAATAATAGGTCTTTACCTATGAAATTGCCGTTTTGTATGCAATAAGTGAAAGTATGTACTTATTTTTTCAAACTTTTTTATTTCTGTTATTCGAAGTAATCACCTTTGCCAACGCATTGGCAGTTTCTTGATGCCCTTCTTGTAAAAATCAGCTGGACGGGAGGCAACAAACTCTTCAAAGGCATTTTGTACTGCCTCTCGGAAATTGAATTTTTTACCCACTAAAAAGTTGTCTAAATTTTGGAAAAAGTAATAGTCTGTAGGTGCAAGGTCTGGTGGTCACATCTGCAACCAGCTTTGGTCAATCGGTCGTCCCCACTGCTCTTTCACGACAACGCGCGACCCCATACTGCGCAACAGACAGTCTCCAAGCTGCAAGAGCTGGGGTTGGAAGCTCTCCCTCATTGCATGGGCGATTACTACGAATAACAGAAATAAAAAAGTTTGAAAAAATAAGTACTTTCACTTATTGCATACAAAACGGCAATTTCAAATTTAGGTAAAGACCTAATATTAAAACTGAATACCCAATATCAATATATTTGATGTGGGAATTCATCATCCCTTGTTCTTCTAGGTGTTACGCTCCTTAATCAACCAGCTGTCCCCAGCGTCTGTGCCACACTACACCATAGCGCATACCTTGGGTACACTGGCAGCAGTGAACACGCATGGTGTCGTACCACATATTAAGGAGATCTTAAGCAAAATGCTGCCACTACTGCCTATGGTTAAAGCTGAGGGATTAAAACAGGCATTTGCATATGGTAATATTTTTTGTATTATAAGATTGAAGTGACTGTTTGTAATGTAAAATAATTTATTTATTTATACTTCCTTCAAAAACATTGCATAAGGCGGACTTAACGCCATAGGCATTTCCTTCCAGTCAACCTTGGGGTGATGCAGAGATTTGTGTGTGGCAGGTGTATAATGAGATAAATTATTTAAATTGTAGTCGGTTGCAAGATGTTATACTACACAGATATACGGGGATACATATATAGATGTAAATATAATTTATACGTACTATATAATAGTATAAATAAAAAAAACATAAACATACATACATATATAACATCCATACATATATGCCCGCATTGATGAACACACGAGGGTTTATTTTGATGACTCCGTCAAAATAATAGGTGTTTTTCATGCACACAGGGTTATTTGCACGATACTTATGCCTAAAAACCAGTTTTTTTTTGTCTGTCTGTTTGTTCCGGGTTCAGCCAGCCAAATCGATCCAGCCGTTGAGAAATCTTCTCAACGGCTGGACCGATTTTGATAATATTTTACTACCAGATAGCTGTTTTTGTTGCTGATTTTTCCTCTTAGAAAAATATTTTCCTGGTTCGGGGATCGAACCCACTAAGGCAGCGCTTTTTAAATTCGACGCGAACGTAGTCGCGTGTCTGGTACCCGCGACTTCGTTCGCTTGGAATTTAGTAAATAATATAACTTAATAGTTAACTGGTTTTGAAAAAGTATTAGTGATGAGGATAACTGATAACAAACCAGATGTGATATTATCATCTGTATAAGTGACATAATTATACATATGGCTTGATGATAACTGCTATAAATAGTTTAGTGTTAGTAACAAGTATATAATTTTAGTTTTATATTTAAATGAAATGCTTGGGACTTTGATAAAGTAGAAATCAAATGTGAAGTTTGAATTACAAGTCTATATACATATAAAAGACTGACCTGACTGACTGACTGATAGAAAACCGCTGGTCGCAGAGACGTGAAAATGTGTTTCGGCCTAGTAACATACTCTCAATATCGTTTGTAAGCACTACAGTAAATATTTTATATTCCTAAAAAGTTCAAAACATTTACGGTTAAGGTTTTCTATAAGGAAAATAATTTTGTTTTTATGCGGATTAAGTTGCAGGCTATCATAGGTCGTATCGTACCGTAGAGGTCGTAAGCACCACTTACTATTAAATAATAAGAAGAAGTAACATAAAGCTCATAATATTTTCGTGTGATTATATTGTGTTTTTCTTATTTCACAGCTTTTGGCCACTTCGCAGTAGCCGTCTCTGAACAGATAGGCGACAATGTTGAAAACGACAATATAACATCTATCAAAGACAATTTTGTCACAGAATTCTCCATAATATTTGATGTATTGTACAACCAATGGCTACCATCACACGAGCCAAAAGTCTCTGAATCTGTACTTGAAGCCCTAGGACCTATCACCAGGCTAATTTCGGAAAGACAATTTAATGAAACAGTAAACAAATTTGTGCTTTCATTGCTGTCTTTGTATCGCAAACCAGCTATCAATTACTACTATATAAGTCAATGTATATCGTACATACTTACGCCATCGCCCTTAAACCCGAAATTGAGCTTGAACGATAGCACTATTAACTCCATAAACCATGTCCTCTTTAATCTGGTATTACTAGAACCCGATTATGACCAACCTCATACTGTAAAGAATCATTTTGAAGTGCTTCGGTGCTTCGATTACATGGCTGGACAGTTCCCAGACCAAACTATAGAAAGTCTTCTACACCAGTGTAAGAATAACCAAGAGAAAGACAGAATGAAAGCTGTGATAATTCTAACACACCTAACGACGTCATCACAAGTCTTTATAGACAATTTTGCAGCCAAATTCATTTCACTATTAAAAGTTATGACTAATATGGAACAAGCAGTGAAGATGAAGAAGTTACTTGTTAAGGCCATAGTAGGTCTAGTTTACAGGAATTGTATAACTACTACAGAAGACTTCACTATGGTAGAATTTATAATAAAACATTGTGGCTATGAAGGAGGTCCCAATGTGTCCAAGTATGAAATTTTAGATTTACACGATACATGCAAAAGCTCTTTGATATTAATGTGCAATACAGTTACTAGCATAAGATCACAGTTACGAAATCTTCTACTAATAACTTTAACTAGTGAAGAGTTTACTGCTTCCATGGCAACCGTCTGTCATTGTCTTACGTCCCTTCTGCAGAATAACTCTGATGTAACTGCAGAAACTGTACAATCAGACAAGGAAGCTGAATTGAAGTGCTCTCCTGATTTAGTTTTCGTCAGATGTTTAACGCATGTAGTTGAACCACATCAAGTTGAGAGGAACAAAAACATTTTAATCTTTCTTGAAGAATATTCAGGAGATATTCATAAGAATCTAAAAAATTCTTGGACTGTAGAAATCCAAAGGTTACTTAAGTTTGTAGATACTTGTGAGTCTAAAGAACATTGGCATGGCATGTTGTTGGATCTTTTAGTTTCTGCTATTGAGCAAGTGAATAGCAACAAATGGGTGGAATTCATTGCAACTTTAATATCGCAACAAATAATTTCAAAGAAAATGTCTCCGATGATCAAAGGGGTATCCTTACAATTTTTGGCTGTACTATCATGTCACATGTCCAATGCAGCAGTTGTTGAAAAGATCTTAAAGATAATTCTCTTAGCTTTAAAATCAATACCGATGGAAAGTAGTGATTATGTTAGCAAAGCTGTAGGCATAGCTTCAAGACAACACGGAGAATTCATCCTAAATGAACTTGATGCTATTTATAAAGAAATTGAGTCAAAAAGGAGCAGCAAGTTTTTAAATTTTCTCTCCTCGAAAACTTCTAAAAATGATTTGGAACTTGGTGTTGTTCGGTACACAGTAATTATATGTTATGGCAAAGTAGCTGTCGACTGTTTAGATGTTCATGTGTTGGCTAGATTAGGGGACAATGTTACTTCTATTTTGTATGATATTTTGAAGTCAAACCCCTCATTTGATCTATGCAAAGCTAGCATAACAACTTTGTATGAAATCAGTAAAGCGTTACATCCTGCCGCACATCACAATGTAGTTTTGAGAAACCGTTGGCAGCTGCTCAATGGAGTTCTTGAACAGATATTTAATTCCAATTTAGAAAAACGTAATGTTGAATTATATCCTATCATAGTGAAAGCTTCAAAGGCTTTGACTAAATTGCAGAAAGGAATATTACCAGAAGAAAGAAATACCATACTGAGAGTTCTATTCAATAGTATTTTTGGCGAACTATCTTCATTCAAAAAGAAATATGAGATCGAAGGTAATGGCGACAAAAATGATATGTTAGCTAAAACACTAAATGACAGCTTATCACTTCTTCACCAACTCATCAAGGAACTCATCATACAGTCTACCTGTTTGAGCACCATTGATGATCTAATAGGATTACTAATGGATTGGATTCGGCACGATAATGATGAGATTAGGACAGCATCAGTCATGATCCTTCAAGTAATCTTCGACACTTATATTAGAAACGTTAAATTAAATTATGAAACACCCAGTAAGTTTGGTCAGATGGGATATTTATTGGGACTTATTGTACCAGGAATAGCAGATACCAATTTCCCAGTAAGACTATCAACTGTTGATTGTATAAAATTAATTATCCAAATACAGGATCTATACGAAGGTCATACTATCGAACCTAACGATGAATGCATGTCCAATTTAGAGCATCTTCAGAATAATATATTGACTAATGATTTGAACATGATTAGTGATTACTGTATAGCTTTGTGTGATACGATATCCGTGAAGATACCACACCATCATAGTATGCAATTTATTGAAAGTTTACTCGAAGGGTACGATGATCAGGAGTTTAGAAGTGTAGGAATCAGTTCGATATTAGATGCGTATTTCGTGAATAAGGGCCAAGATTTGTATCAAAGCATTGAGAGGATAGTGGAAGTCCTTTTGGGGACTATGGATATAGTCGGACTGGAAGCGAGGTCAAAATTGATGAAGCCCCTGTCGTCTCTGACTCGTCATCACTCGAACGCAGTGACCGCTGTCCTGTTAGCACAGAAGTTGCCATTGAAGCCGTAAGTATTAAATTAAAAGACTTAATATACTCGTATTTAACAGCCTGGCTGTGGAAAACATGTTTTAAAGTTTAAAGTTCATGTCATCCATGCTGATTACCCATACCTTCATGATTTGTCTCCAATCCCAATTAAATTTATTTACAGATTTTCAGATAGTGTTAAAATTTCGAATGATGATCTGTATTGAAGGCTGGCACATTATTTTCATCAATTTTTATATAACTAGACTTACCATATTATAATAAATTGACAAGTTTGATCGAACTAATAAATTATATCACCAAAATAATGTTTAAAACTAAATTAAATTATCATTTTTTAATTTCATTGGTTTCCACTCTTTTAGGAGTGTGGTTTTATGTTGGCGTAGCCTTGCCCGCGACGAAACCCTTGCTGCCACTATAACAGAAAACTTCTTGAGGCTTATGACATCAATAGAACTATATGAGGACCCGTATCATATAACAGAACATCATATAGCTGCTCTCCAACCTTTAACTGTAAGCATGACTTTTTTTAATCAAATGAGGTTCTTTTTAACAAACGATAAAATATAAATTGTCTTCTTTATAATTTCAAGTTAGCATTATATTGTGTCAAAGTCAGTTAGTCAAACAAATGAAGATTGCGTACTGAAACAGGTTTTGTATCTGCATAAAAAGGTTTTCAATAAAATCATCTGAGTCATTAGTTGCTTTAAATCATAAAAACTATATCACAGAATAATAGCTTTATTTTGTCACACTATGTTTAATGTACATAATACTAAACTTTAAACTTTCAGCTAATAAGCGCATTAGGAGAGATGCTTCAAGAAGAGTCAATGAAATCCATATGCGCAGATAAATTTGCGGACCTCTTCTCTGTGCTTTACACTACATTAGCTTGTTACATTGATGCTGAACCACCTGCATATACACCACCAACTGTTAAGAGCCAAGAGAGGTTCGGTTTTATACCGAACAGAGAAGCAATTAAATTGTCACCGGCTAAAATTACTGTGCAAACGTTTAATGCATTTTTAGAGCAAGCCGATTGTCAGAAAGTAAGTCTTAATATAAAGTTTACCTCGAATAATTCGATTTATTCTATATTCTATCTCTTAAAAGGCCTTTGAGAGTGTGTTATAAGTATAAAACGTAACGTAAATTTCTCGAAAGACATAAATATATATTGAAAAGTATGTTAAGTCAAGCGAGGAAGTATGTATACATATGCTAAAAGGATTATAACATAAAAAACGCTTTAGTGATCTTTACGAAACAAAGAAAATTTAAGGGGTCCCCCAAGGCACATTTGTGGGGCCAATAATTAAAATGAGTGTTTGCTTGCTGTCTAACTGTCACGATATCAACCTAGGTGAGTGAAGCGTGCTCATTGTGTCTGAGCATTGAACACGGGGATTCCTCAACAACATTACTGGAACTAGCTCCGATACTCAGCGGCGCACTGAGCCGTTCGTGCCCCGCTCAGCTGTCTCGGCTCGTGTCGCGCATCGCTCAGTACGCGCGCTGTCCGCTACCCCCGCAACGTTGCGCCGCTCTTGCTTTGCTAGCTGACCTTCTCAACTACAGGTACGAAAGTAAATAGAATATATATTTCATGTATTTCGAATAGGCACAAAATTTATTGTTTACGATCACGTCTCTTTTGTCATCTATAGTTTAGTCCCACTCAAATAATAGGGGGGCAAGTCAATTTTACTAATAACATATTTATAATAGAAAAAATTGGGTGTATATTGAAGAGATAGCTACTTCTTACCTATCACTTTAAGGATGGGAGATGCGATGCGATGTTTTAATTTGACCTCTATCTTAAAATTAAATTGTGCATATTCTTGTTTTTCCAGGTGTAACGACAACACCATTCTCATAGAAACAGTCCTGGCAACACTGAATAGCGGTTGGAAGGACCAGCATGAGCGTGTCCGAGCTACTTGCTTACGTGGAGCTGCCAACATCGCCCAACTGCGACCTGAACATCGCAACAACGCTTTGCCCGCAGCTTTTACTGCACTCAGCCAGGGAGTTGATGCGCAGAAAACGCAGTGAGTTAATACCGACAGTTTGTATTATATGATATCAAACAATAAACGTCTCACGTCCCGTACGACAGTGAAGATGGAAATTTATAACAGTACTCGTATTGTTGTATTTTTGGAATATCGTAGTTGCATTAAACACAAAACAATAAAATAATGAGACAAATTTATAATATGTGTACCGAATGAACTTTGACTGAAGTTCTTAGGTGTCACAAAGTCAGTCAGTTAATATTTTTTTTACCTCACAGATCACCAACAGACAACGTCCCACTCGCCGCCATCCAAGGCTTAAGTCGACTTTTAACCGAACTGGATCAACTGGATAAAGAATACGATCGAGAGCTCGTCTCCATATCACAAAAGATACGTCCGTTCATGAACACAGACTGCGCTCAATTGCGAGAAAATTCCATCAAGCTCTTTGGTATCATTGCGGGGAGAATAAAGTCGGATGCTTTGGTGGAGCAGGCTATTAATTCTTTGCCTTGCTTCCTGCTCCACTTGTGTGATAACAATCCTGCTGTAGTTAGGGTAAGTGTCTATAAAATTTTCGTTCTTATGTAAATATCAGGAGTAGCGGGGTCATCAAACGTGCTGCGGGATGAACTGTTCGTTGTCGGGTTTTTGAGACCGCATCGAAGGAGTTTCAGTGGACCGCTTGTGCGCGGTATGGATGGTTGTCGAATATACAGGGTGTAAGGGACGTCGTAACGAATACCTACTGAAATAGTGTATTTGTTACGACGTCCCTTACACCCTGTATAAATTGGCTCGCGCGGCGTATATACATCGTCTGCTAATCATTTCTATCAATTGTATTTTTGATGTGGAATAGCAAATTCCCCCAGTACCACAATAAATCGCTTTTCGTTTATTTTTACGAATAACATGATGGATCAATCAGAGATCAATGGGAAGGATGGATGGACAAAGAAAGCGGCAGTCTTCCTACTACACGCGCCCATACTCTCAGGTTTACAAGAATGAACCTGGCTATTCGCCGCGGACTGTTTGAGTTTGGATCGTTTACCGCTCACGTGTACCGCGTGTAATTTTTACGCAGCTTAACTATAACGCGATCCATCCGATTGTATAACGCCCTCTATCCGAGGTTTAGGCTAAACCCAGATTTATAATTTTTGGATTGATGTTGAGTATGATCGAACAGGCGAGCAAGTTCACTCTGAAGCAAGTGTTCAAGACGTTCAACGTGAAGAAGTCGAACGACTTCGTGCAGGCGCACCTGGTGGACGAGGGGCGGCTGTACCTGGACGAGTTCCTGGCGGCGCTGCTGCGCCAGCTGGCCGACGAGCGGGGGGGGGCCGTGGCGCGCTGCCTGCAGGCCGCCGTCAACTACCTGCACTGCGCACGCGAAGACCTCAAGCCGCACCCGCCACTGCTTCTAGGTAGGTCGCTTCTAGTTGTTTTACTATCCATTTATCCCACGCTCATCGCTCAATTCGTGTAGATTTTTTTAGGTTTAATATGGTACTTTTGGTCATAGTGACAATTATTCTAAGTCTATTTTTATGAAGTCCTAATGACTCAGAGGTCTAGTAATTGATAAAAGCTGCGTTAAAAGATTCAGTTACAAAGATACCGAGTCAAGCTTATGTAAACTGGAAAAACCTAGTATTACTAATCCAACAGCCACAATAGGTCTGTCCTTAGAAAGGAGATTTTGGCCTACTATAATATTAATTTTTCTTCTCTTAACAGTTTTTTTTTGTTTTTTTTTCTATAACAAGACGACTCCCGCATTAGGAATATATCCTCTGTCGCGAGGGACTTGACAAACATACATGAAACGGAAACAAAGAACACCCAGACTCAGAACAACAATTTGTGGACCACACAAAGTGTCGTCCCATATGGGGATCGGACCCACAACACTCAGTGTAGTAGTAAGCAGCGTGGATACCACGTAAACCACTACGCCATCCGTGTAGTCAGTGCAGTGCAGTGCTGTTGTCCTGTTTAGTTTGCTCCCTTATTCGGCTCTCACGACCACCACAGTACTAATAATATGATGTTAAAAATAATAACAATGACATAACCAGTAACAATGACAGGTGACAATACATAACTAAAACTAAGAAAATAAATTACATGAACTATATTTTATTTGCTATCGTTTACAGTAAAAATCATAATATCATTCATGCAATTACCATTAACGCAGGACTATTGTACGCTGAACTGCATCGCCTACAATCCAAATCCGCTGAAGACACAGACTTGGATCCTGACATCACCCGCACAGCTCGCACCAGACTGTTGCAGTTGATCAAAGATCCCAACCCACTGGTGAGTTACAGACTTGTTACGACTAGCGTAAATATGACCTGGTTGACCTATAATGATTTACTCGAAGGGTCCGAGAAATGAAACCACAACTGTAACTAGCTTCAGTAGCTTATATTTATTAAGTAACTTATACTATTGCACTAAAGTAAACGCTAGCGCGATTTAGAGGAATGGTACAACGCCATCTATCGATTCATGATATAAACATACTTGCACGACGTAGACTGTTTTGGTCGTGAACAGACTCATGTTACTTACTGCCCACACATTGAGGGAAAGACCCAATCGTATTTTAGATTCATGTCTTCTGTTCTTGCTTATTAATTGGCATTTATTAGTCACTTTATTCAAAACAGTGGTTTGATTAAATAATGGTGTTGTATCTATTTCAGGTGAGACAAAACTCGGCGATGGCACTGGCGAACATATGTCTGGTGGAGGCCGACGGATGACCGAAAATCGGGATCAGTGTTGCCAGTGACAGGTGTGTGCTTAGAAAGAGATTCTACCAACCATAGACTATAAAAATACAGTCGTTAATTATTAGGGAGGTAATGTTACCAGGGATAAAAAATATACTACATTATAAGAGTTTACTTCGACGCTTGTCATTTATATTAGAAAAGTGCATACTATTCTAAGTTTTAACTTATTCCGTCTCAGCGTCTTCATGTTTCTCGAAACTGGATTGTAAAATTATCTACTGTACACCCTTGAATTAATACATAAAATTAATTATGTCAAATTCTGACGATCTTTAAAAACGCTATCGTAATTGGGAATAAATTTTCCTAATGGCCACACTTTTGTATTTGTGTGTTAGTAAAAAATATTTCCAACGTCGATACTGGCAGAAGGGGAGGAGGTTGAAATTACCCAGAAATTATTAAATATTCGCGTCAATGAACACGTCAGACCTTCGAAAATCCTCAAGAACAATAACTATATTTGAAAATACACTTAAATAGCGACATTTTTTCAGCTCTGAAACGATTTAAATAAACCAATATATTAATCGAAAAAATAGTGAAAAGACCCTTTATTTTGATACCCTATTTGGTGGATTTTGAACCAAGAAAAATTGAGACAAACTGACGCCAAAAAAACCTGACTTTTGAATTTCTATGATTTTGATATATCTAGTGTCACTCACAATTAAAATGTTTCTAACGTCACTATTTAAGTAAAAATTCATCAAGCAGAGCAGAGCGTGCCAAAGAAATATATATATACACACTTGAAAAACATAACTCTCCCGTGGCCACAGTAGGTTAAAGTAAAGGTGTTTTTGTAGATTTCCGAAGAAAAGACGTTTGATTGACCACACTATTTTAAGTTTTTTAACACTGGTATTAGGAGGTGCTGGTATTTCTGTTTATAGTTTATTTTATAATCTTTAAATAAATCAGCATGGCTTATTTTGATTCATAAAAGTAGTATATGTTGTATTGTAATTTAAGACCACCTACCGTGGCATTCTTATATCCTTCAAAAACTATTCATCAACAGATTTTAATAAAAGACAAATGGAGGTTTAGGCCTACTATACCACGCTGGCGAAACGGGTTGGAATAGGGGTTGTGTCAAGTTTTCCTTCTCTTTGCAGTGCTGTTGTCCTGTGTAGTATGCTCCCTTAGTCGGCTCTTACGACACCCCGGGATGACTAGGGGTGGTGACACTCCGTATTCTTAATCTGTCACCACACAGATAGCACTTAAAGCTAAAAGCTTCTTAAAATTGTTTTTTAATTGCTTGGGTTTCGAACCTGTAATCCATCCTTCGTTTGGAATGATATTCTTTATATATTTCTTAATAGTTATATAAAAATGAAGTTTTGTTTATAGTATTATTCGTAGAGAATTGTAATGAACTCGATTATAATATATCTTTGTTAAAATGTAAGCATTTAAACGGAACCAGAATGAGAGACTGATGAAAATAAAATACTGTTCTAAATTATATTTGAAGTAAAAAAAATAATATGATGAAATACGAAGTAGAAAAAACCTATGTGTATATTTGGCGATTTAATTTTGATTATTGTTGGTTTGTATAATATTTTTTTTGTTTGGCAGAGTTTCAGTTACAACACAGAAGATATTAATTTAATATATTAAATTAAGACCGACTAAGCTCATAGCTATTTTTATTAGAGCTACAAATAAGGCCGCTTTTCATTTTTCAACAGTTGAAGTCACAACAACAGTTGTCAGTCACAGTCAGCGACAAATTTCTTTAACACTTACTCATAATTCATGCGCATCCTCAGTGGTTAGAATTGGATGAGTTTTGAGTTCAATGGATATTGCATATCTGCGTATTGTTAAAATTGTTTAAAAAATAACACCTAGAGCCGTATTAAAAGGTGTCTCAGTCGTGAATCTAATCTTAAAACTGTACTTAAGTAGAGTTTTTACTATTGACTGCTACTTAAAACGAGATTCACCGATCTAAACTCGAGTGAGATATAGCCTATTTCAGAACGATGTTTTTGTCGAAATCTTATAATTTTGACAGATAATCTTCGTTTACGTAAAACCAGCTGAAACTTTGCTCAAGTAGTGATTTCTGGACATTTTAAGTGGAAATGAACGTGTTTTACGATGATTTGTTTCTGGATAATTGCAAAAGATATTCAATTACTTGTCATACATATTCATTCATTTCACTTTAGTTTACCATAATTCGTATTCAATTCATTTAAATTCACATTCAATTACTTATTTAAATTTAAATTATCTTCAACCTTTTGGTTTATGACAAAAGTATAATATTATTCTAGAAACATAAATTTTAAAAATGTAAACACGTCAATATGACAAGTGTTTATTAATAATTTGAACGTTCCGCGATAGCTTGTAGCTAGTTCTTTGTATTTTAATATTTATTATATTTAATTTTAGGCCAGCCTCCAGCATGCTAATATTATATTCAAATTCAGAGAAATTATGTTGACTGACAAGAAGCACCTTCCTCAACAGACAAACAGACGGAAAAACAAAACTATTGAGTTACGGAACCCTAAACATTAATTTATTCATTGTATTCAACATGAAATAGCTATGTGCTTTGGGTGGAATCGTTTAAAAAAAACGACGTTTTCATAAATGTGTGTCGTATAACAAATTTTTTAAACGCTAAGTAAGAAAGAAAGTCTCTTAAGATAACTTGTTTATATTGTAAACTTAAGGTGCAACCACAAAATTTTGTTGATTTGATACTACTGAATTTATTTGTGATAAAACTGTATAAAGGGCTGGACTTACTGTATGTGAGTGTTACTCTAAGTAAAATCAAAAACTTAACTTGATGCAATATGTTTGAAATCTTTGTTCTTAAAAAAAGTATTGTTCTCGTACATTTAATACGTTAAAAACAATTGTTCTTATAATCGAATCAGCATTTTTACGTGTGCACTTAAGTTGACTTCCCAAAAAAGAATATCCGCGAAATATAGTCAGTGTTAACTAATGTGATATTGATTTATTTAGGATTTTCTAGTTTTAGGCTTGCTTTATAGGCTAAGATCACTCGTACCTACTTATGCAAACAGGAATAACACACGTGTCAAATTCGAGTTGAGTTAAAAAGAGCTTTGAAAGTGCACCTTCTGTCGAACCAGTAAAGATCAAAGTGAGTTTGCAATTTTAACTGAACAAAACATTTTCGTGACAAGTTTACTAAGTAAAGTATAGTAGTTGTTTCTTAATTCAAACTAAACTGAGGAACCAACATTATTTTTATGAAATAAATCCCCAAGGATTCCCCATTTTGTATGCTTAACATTTTTATTTTATAAAATTTAGAAGAAATTAGCTTGTCTTAAATTTTTGTCATCATATAATAACATTTTTCACTTAGAGACATTAAAAAAAATGGATGTTAAGTATTCTAATATTGATTCCTTTTTGCGTAAGTAGGTTAATGTTACAGTTTCTGAAATACATTCGAATTATAATTTGTTATTGCTTTTTTTATTGTTCTCGATTAAACCTTTCACGTTTAGAGATTAATTAAAACGCTTCATATACTGTAATAGATTTACTTCAATAAATAATAATGTATATACAGAAAAAAAAAACACCCAAAAAAGAACAAAATGCCTTATAAAAATAAATAACAAATATAAAAAAACGAAATTAACGATATTGAAATGTTTGTAAACTGTAGTCATATTAACCAATAGTAATATTCTTTCATTACGAGAAGAAATTTCTGTATTTTTATAAACCCTGTAGATGAAATACATTTTTTATATATACGTATTGAAGGTGTCGTAAGGTTTTAGAGACATAAAACATTAAAACGATGATATGTCATCATAGATTGTTATAATAATAATAATAATGAGTAATTTCAGTTCCTTTTGTAGTACGAAACTCCATCTAGACATAAAAATGATCTAAACAATAATGTTATTGGCATGTGTGAGTATTTGACTGAGTAGTAGTATCCACATATACAAATAATGAAAAAAATGTGAATTAAAAATTTGATAGTAAGTTGATAAAACGAATTGCACCTGCACTATCAAAAGCATTTTCATAAGAAAAAAATTACATAAATTCGGCTTACATGAAACTCCTAAAATATTAGGACACTTTTCAAAAACACGTCGGATAAGACTTGGCTAAAATATATGTATATGCTAAAATAAATATACAGGGTGTAAAGGACATCGTAAGGAATACGGATATAGTGTATTCAGACCATAATTCTTAGTCGAAAATCATTGGAATGTTCTGCCGGCAAGTTATTACTTTTGTGCAATATCTACGCGGAATGACATTAATCTTTGACAGCTGACTGCATTAATTCCAATGATTTTCGACTCAGAATGATGGTCTGAATACACTATTTCAATATTCGTAAAGACGTCCCTTACGCCCTGTATAACTGGTATATGTGTTTAAAGTACCGGTTATATATACATAGATTTCGTAAATTTATCTCAATAAAAACCTAAATATTATATCCATCCATTTTCATAAATTTCGCTTTGTTATCCATGCTGTATTCACTTCTGCACTTGTATCATCAAGAATCAATGTAACATGTAGGTATATTAAGTTTGACAATAAAGATATGTTGAAATTAACACGGTGTTAATAAGTTTTGTCGTGCCTTCCGTGCTGCTGTGTCCTTGCATTCTCCACAACTATAACAATACAACTTACTCATTTGAATACAATTTCAGCCAAAAATTGACAAATACATACTAATCATTGTCTTTTATCACTCACTGGTGGCTGTACCGCCCAGGCAATCTGATGTCTGATTTGGAGCTGACGAATTTCGATTGAATATTTTTTCGAGTGCCTATTTTACGTATGTTCTTTAGTGTATTTAAGGAACCTCTCACACTTTGCCTGGTTCCAGCACTAAAACTTAGAAAGGACCTGACAAAACAAATGCTGTATCTGCTCTAGGTACTGATAAAATCAGCTTTAAACTGTATAAGACAAGGCACAATCTAGGTTTGCTTCCAAAAGAGCAAGAAAAGTAGGTAGTATTAGAGGAATGAGAAAGTTGGATATATCAATTTTAAAAAAAGTTCACATAATTATAAGTCAAGAAACGCGGCAGTTTAAAAGTATGGTTAATGTAAGTTATGTAAGTAAATTATAAGGCCAGCTAAGCCTGAATCTTACATGAAGGAAACTCAAAAAGGTAAATATAAAATTCGCAAAATATTTCGTCCCTAGCAACTGCCCATTAGCAATGTTAAACACAGATAACTTACGTGGAATTGTGGTCTAACCAGAAGGCCTCGGTACGGTCAAAGTCGGTCCGCAACTGTCTCGCGTCGAACGACATTGAGTCCATGCGCCACTCCGGAGACACGTATGGTAACTTTAGGAGGTGAGGCAATGTGATCTTAAAAAAAATCAAAATTTAGGTTTACTGGCTGTTAGGATAACGAGCTACAAGTTCGCCATAAAAAAATTAAACTAACTAATAAAAATGCCAAACGAGTATAAGAAAATTCAAGTCTACAGAATGTTATGTGGCGACTCCCACATACAAAGAAACAGAAACATACTACAGCGCCATCTAATGAAGACACACCGAACTACGGAGTTACATACTAAAATAAGAATTGCTAATCCTGTATTGCGATATAAAGAATTCCCTCGCCGATTAGCATATATACAACTTCCCAACATCAACCGTTGGGCCGCGGCCCGCCAGGCATGATCACCTCGCCTGGTCGGAGGATCCTCCCTTTGTGTTGGAGGGACATTACACCCGTTCCTCCCCAGTTACATTGTTGCATCAATTTTGCTTATCTATTAAGCTCAAAGACCATTAACTTTTAGGTGGTCCTTTCATTAAAGCAGAAAAGAAAAAAAATAAGAGTTGAGAAGTAAATTTTGATAGTCCACACATAAAATACACTAATGTTGATAGTGTTAGGTATATATTAAAAAAAAAGCACAATTGCTCCCGAATAGTAGCATTTTTAAACCGTGAGAGAGCAATACTTAGCACATATGAGCAAACTCGATAAGAGAAATACCATTGCCTTACAAAAAGCCCGTGTTAATCAATTCTTTCTTCGCATTTCAACGAGTGAGCTAGGTTAATGAAAACCCTATTCTTCCCCCTTAATTTGTAAACCAGTTTGTGGTTACAGTCTGTGTCATTCGATCGTAACATCGGGTATCAAAAGAAAGTATTTTAGATTCTTAATATAGTCATAATTAAACCCCAGCTACCCAGCAAATACGTATGATTATTTTGGCAGTCTAAAAACCAATTAACAGTTTTTCTTTTGCTCGTCGATGACATAAAAAAATTCGTAGCTGAATAGTACGTAGCTACATGACTTAAAAATATAATTTTCCTACAGGTTGAAGGCAAATTATTAAAATTAAGATATTGACCATTTTAGGCGGCGCGTACACATTCGATAGCGGTGCTTTATTGGCTTTAGTTGCGGCTAATGTCTTCATCACACTTTCCTTCGTAGCCTGCATAGCTGACGTTGTGTACATGTCGGTCACTATCACATGACGGGCCCTGAACATCAAAACGTTGATCAGAGGCATTTTATAAATATTTACAAACTATTCCATTTATCTAGGACTGCACTTAAAACGGCTCAGACTTTTTTGTTTTACAATTTCTGTTTTATCATCTAATATGCCCAAGGGCTGTAACTGTGGTTGCGGCCCAATGGCGCAAGGACCTAGCGCTTAGCTTTAGATCTCAAGAATCCGGGGGCTGAGTTCTTGCATATTCATAGTCAGCCTAGACCGCCCTGCTGTCGCAACTGAAAGCCCTATCACAACAATTATCCTCTGCAATTATATAACTACCCTAAGTAGAAAAAAAAACAGCATACGATTCTTCGACGTCATCCAAGGCTATTGCCGGGGACAAACAGACGCGAGGACGTGTTCGCTGAACTTCTTCCCTTTCGTGGTCTTCTAGTGTTTCCTGCAAAAGTATATTTTATTCTTTCTATTTTATTTAAAATAATTGAAAGACGAGTATCTACACTGTTTCGCACTTTTTATTACCGGATTTAGAAAGCAAACATTCGGGAAATTATATCCAGGAAGTTTTTTGGATTTTCTCTGTTCTCTAACTATGGAGCGCCCATTTTTATTTCAAGATTTTATTTATTCCATTAATAAAATATATGTCAGTGCCAGGGTTAGGTATATGAGAATATTTCTCATCAATCTATAATGGCGACTTGGTCAAAATTTCTACAAGTCTTTGAATGAAGCCCTCGCCCGCATTTAGAAATAGCCTAAATTTCTTTTCAAGATTTTTGTGACACAGTAATCAAGTTACAAGTGAAGGTAATAATAGCATGTTAAAAACAGATAATATTTACATGTATTTGTTGAATATTCCTTGGATTAGTTTGAAGAATTTCCTTAGGTTTATGATAAAGGGTAAATGGAACACACGGGCATTTATAATCAGTTAAAGAATGCATATCTTTTAATGTATGAGGTTGGGGTCTGGTGTATCTTTCTTTGGGCTTGTAGGTGGTTGGATTGCAGGGTTTGATATTAATAGAACGGTAGTCGTGTCTTGTGGTAGTCCTATTGTCGAATATCATGTCTTTGTATCGTTGAGCCATCTCTAAGTTAAGCATATTAATTAATAATGTTTTTCAGTAACGAAATGTAAAATAATATCAAAATAAATAGCTTATCAAAAACTTGTATACAAAAATAATTACAAAAGTGACATGATGTGTCAAGTGATGTCAATTTTAGAGAAATATAAATAGGGACTTTTTTTAATTATTTAGGTTTTGGAAACAGACAAAATAAAAAAATAATTAAACATCTTGTGCTTGCAACATACTTTACTTGTGATTGTGACGAAACACTGTGTAGTTTAGTCGACTTGATTCTGACATAATTTCTACTTCACCCTTAGAGCTCGCTTCCACTCAGGTGTCGAGCCCGAAAATCGTCATTTTATATGAAACTATTCACACTTGTCCGAAACCGATTTTGTGTGGACGCCGACAAGTAATGTTGGGTGCTTTGCCAGTCCTCTACGCCCGGCAAAAATCGTGTCGGATCCCTCTCGCCTATGAGTAAGTATGACGCTGTTCACATTTGTCGGATGTCGATGACAAATGCTGTCTCTAGTCTCTATTTTATTTTGGTTGTTTATACTTACTGATATTTGAAGCAGTAGATCGTTGAATGTAGTGATTGACATGCTAAAAAAATTGGAATTCTTAATTTCGTCACTTTTCAATTCTGTTATTAAGTTCTGAAATGTGACCAAATTAAATATTTTCCTCAGACTTGGGTGCACTCAATATTTTCTTTCCTTGGGTGTCTTATTCGGTTTCTTCAGATCAACAAGAAATTCGTCGACGTCCATCGTGCACAGTCGCCTCGTGTTAAAAATTGTCACCAACTTTGACCTTGGCCGACAACTTGGAGGCACTAACACGCGATGAAAATCTGGGCCTGACAGTCGACTAGTGTGAACGAGCTCATAGCTGACCTGTGGAAAAAACCCGCTAACTCCCATACGAAAAGAAAATTACAACTTTAATATTGTTTTTACTTTGTTTTGTTTTAGCAACGTGTCCGGACAGCACGCCAACATCCTTAATATTGAACGTATATCTATAAAAGAAGAGACTGACAGACTGATTCACTGACTGACCGATCAACGCACAGCCGAAGCATTTGCGCAAAATTCGTAAGGGAATTTTGCGCAAATGTTCCTTTGGTGACAAAGGTGTGCACTTAAAAAGGATGTAATTAATATATAATAATGTAAGGGGTTGTAAATTTATATGAAACTTCGTTATTTTTGGTAGTAGCGTTTTCAAATTCACTGTAAATACTCTTTATTAAAAGTAATAAATACGTTGTTGTATTGTCAGGGCACTTTTCGTCACTGGATCTAAGCGTCATAGGGTTAATATTAGTTCTTTGTTAATTATTTAGCTTTCTGCGTTATTTACCTCATGCAGAAATTTAATTCAGTGAATTCGTAATGGTCACATGACATAATAACAATTGAAATAAATATTGTTTTTTTTTTAAAGATTATTATATTTTTTCAAAGATTACTGAGTTGTAAAAAGTGAAAAGAGAAGTAGAAGAAGTAAAAAGAGCGAAGAATCTCCCATAACACATTTGCAACGCCTATTTTTTTGTCATTAATGTGGAAATAATTACTTAAGTCAATGTTTATGAAATAAAATCATTCATAACGAATGATTTTAAACTTTGACACAAAATTTTTGCCTCATAAAAATTTTTAAGGTAATACTTCTTATTTTACCTAATTAAACATTTCGTTGCGCTCGATCAAAGTAAAAGGAATCGTCATTAAACATTTAAGTTATTTTTCCGTGTTTAAAAAGACAACTCCCGCACTGAACCAACTTCAACGAGGTCGACTCGTTAAGGTCTCCAATTGATCCTTTTGTTAGATCTGTACATTAGGTATAATTACTTACGGCACACTTACCGAATTGAAACAGTGTGAAACGAATTCCGTTTAGGCTCTGACGTATCTAGTTATCTACTATTAGTGAACTTTAGAATTTTCATGAGCTTATCTTAGGTTCATCAAGCCTCCCTGGGATAGGGCCTGACTAGGCATGGTGTCAATTCGGGGAGGACCTGAAATAACATGGTCCAGGTTCTTCCAGAGTAGGGCACCTGAGGCCGGCCGTCGGGGTGGTTTTTAGTGGAATCACCACATACTCCTAGCTCCTAGCCCCGATAAGCAGGAGATCTGAAAGGATTTTCCACCCCGTCAAAAAAAAAAAAAAAAGAAAAGAAAAGGTTCATCAAGCCTGCTGCTAATAATTAGATAATATAATGGATAATTAATATGATGATTTGGATTACAGTACTAAAATATATAAAAACCTCTGCTATAAACTTATTAACAAATATCCTGGTCCATAATAAAGTATCACATTATACACATTGATAAATTTTTATTTCGATCATATCGCTTATCTCACTGGCTTAATAATAATCATTTATTTTAGACCATAGTGATGCAGTCGTCAGTCGTGAAAACGTCAGAAATTCTGTGGAGTTTCTTCATTGGTCCAAACAAATACATAGTTTAGAGGCCAGAGGCGTACTATTACAATCTACAATTCTACCTTAAATAGGCTCCAATATATTCCCCTCTAAATTCTATGCACCTTTTCCACCGGCGTTCCAAACTGTCAATAGCCTTATTACATGCAACTCCATGTAGTTTATATAAAACCTCATTAACATTAGTAACCACTTCTTCTTTTGAAGATAATTTTAATCCATTCAAATTAGCTTTTAATTTGGGAAATAAATAGTAATCTGATGGTGATAAATCAGGTGAATAAGGCGGGTGATCAAACAGTTCAAAGCAGAGTTCGAACAATTTCGCAATAGCGACGGGGACGTTTTGGAGCTCTATATTAGTCTGTTGTAATATTATCTTCTTATTTACTAGATCAGGGCGCTTCTCTTTAAGTGCTTTTGATAAATTGTTTAATGAATTTGCGTATATTTCACCTGTTAACGCCTGATCATGGTAATCAATTAAAATGATTCCTTTGGCATCCCAAAATACTGAAACTAACATTTTATCGGCTGGCAACACATCACTTGATTGTTTCGAGTCGTCACTTTCTTCAGGTTCACCAAGTGGAACGTTAAAATGTATCCAAGTTTGATCACTTGTGATAAACTTCTCCATAAAATCCTTGCTGCCGTTCTCAAAATGCACTAAACTTTTCTTAGCAAAACGCACTCTGATCAACTTTTGTTCTCTGGAAAGATATTGTGGAACCCATCTTGAACAGTATTTCTTCATTTGTAGTATATTCTCTAAAATATCGCTGATGTTGTCTTCACTCATTCCCATATCTGCAGCAATTTCTCGGCATTGCAATCTTTTGTCGTCTAAAACCATTGAGAAAATCTTGTCGATTTTCTTCTGAAATTGGGCTTGTGATTGGTCAGCTTTTTTCTTGTTTTTTTCTTCAATTTCTTTACGTTTTTTAAAGAACCTAACCCATTTCTTCACGGTCGGCCTGGAAGGTGCATTTGGTCCCAAAGTAGATACTAAATCTTCCATAATCTCGAATGTAAGCATTTTCTTTTTGACAAGGTATCTTATAATTGGTTTTATATCAGCGTTATCCATTGTGCAAATTTAATATTTACATTCACACGAACTGTAGTGAAAACTTATTGATGGCTTTTAAACTGGCTAGTACTGCGCATGCGCGATAAGTTCCTACAGCATAAAAATATTGTTCCCCTATTACTACTCTATGTAACTCATATTGTTTTTTTCTCTGAAAATATATTTTTTTGCACTAAACCTACGCTGAAATATGTCTAGAGTAAAATTGTAAATCGTTAAACGCATAACCGAACTGTGGCCCTATACACGCAGGCATTGCACTTTATCTTAGTTGCTTTCCATAAAGAACCAAATGACGTCATTACATTACCAAGTAAATAATCTATAAACATTAAGTAAATATGTAAGTATTTACTCCAAAAATAAAGAAAATAAAATCAATATAAACCACATATGAATGAAAACAAAATCTATTAAGAAAATAAGTTTACAGTACAGTTTTAATAAATGTGAGTAAATCATAGATATTACAATAACCGTTGTATTAGAGTATAACGTTAAATATATTACGAATAGGAGTTGAATATACCCAAGGTTATAATTTCCATCTAATCAATGGATATTAAATAAACATCTTAAGTCCTTCTCATTAGATATTAAAGTTATAATTCCATTTGAGGTAATAAGTATGATTCAATGTCTTTGGAGACTTTTGCCAGGCTTTAACTGACACATTATCTTCCTTTGCTCGTCAATTTTTTTCGTCTGCTCACAAAACGTACACCTATGTAAAAAGAAATAGTATTAAGCTGAATTCTTTAAGTTCAAAATTGGGACTGGATCCCTTCCGATCTCGCGAAGTAGGTACGAGGGTGCGTTTTTAAGTTCGCGGAATGAGAGGGTTGGAGGGGGGTGATTAGGCTCATTAGAATCGTCACGTGTTCAGTGACTCATAATTAGTATAAATACCAGGTTTCATTGTTATTAGACAATTAGTTTTTGAGTTATCGTCAACCAAGCAACATAATCGGGAGTGAAAAGTGAAACATGGAAAAAATCGATAATCGTGCCGTTATAAAGTTCCTTACCAAGCAAGGAAAATCAGTTGCGACCATAATGAATGAGATGTCATTGGTTTACGGAGACTCTTGTCCAGAAAAAACCATGGTGTACAAATGGCACAGTTTATTTGAACAAGGAAGGGAATCCCTTGAAGACGACCCGAGGCCGGGCAGGAGCATCGAGGTGATCACGCCAGAACTTATCCAAAAAGTCGAAAAAATTGTACTCGACGATGCTCGACTAAAGAAACAACTCGCAGAAATGGTTGGAGTATCTGATACAACCATTTTTAGAATTCTGCACGATCATTTTGGCATGACAAAGGTCAGTGCAAGATGGGTGCCGAGAATGCTCACGCCGACGCAAAAACAACAGCGCGTAGAGTGTTCACGTGCATTTTTAGACCTTTGTAATAAAGACAAGGATGCTGTATTGAGTAGAATTGTTACTGGAGACAAAACTTGGGTTCATCATTATGAACCTGAGTCGAAACAAGACTCCATGCAGTGGCATAAAAAGGGCACAGCACCTCCCAAGAAGTTTAAGGTGTCACAGTCAGCTGGGAAACTCATGGCAACGGTCTTTTGGGACTCAGAAGGAATGTTATTCATCGATTATAAAGATAAAGGTGTTTCTATAACCGGAGAATACTACGCTTCAATAAAAGAGCAACTCAAAGAAGCCATTAAAGAGAAAAGACGGGGAAAATTGACAAAAGGTGTGTTGCTTTTGCACGACAACGCGCCCGTCCACAAGAGCCGCGTTGCGTTGGCTGCCCTGCATAAGGTGGGCTTCGATATTTTGAATCACCCACCCTACAGCCCACACCTGGCCCCCAGCGATTATTACCTGTTTCCAAAAATGAAAAAAGAGCTGCGGGGTAAAAAATTTACCAACGATGATGAAGTCAAGGAGGCAGTTTCGGCGTATTTTGAAAACATTTTTTTATGAGGGTATAAACAAATTAATTGAAAGATCTGAAAAATGTATCCGTCTTGCAGGTGAATATATTGAAAAGGAAAAATAATTTGGTTTCTTTATTTCCACCCCTTATCCCCCATTCCGCGAACATAAAAACGCTCCCTCGTACCTACCGTAATTAAGTTTAGTGGTAACGGAAAGGGTTTTAATTGATTTAAACATATATTTTTCAGATGAAATCGTTTAGGAGCGATGGGTTCTAGGGGCCGTTAGTCGCTATTCACCAGGTTATTCGTATTTATAATTTATGTTTTTTTTTAATTGTCTTGGTAAAGTTAGCCGTATATTCTACTTCTAAATACCTTATGCCAATACTTACGGACGTAATTCCCTTGAGAGCCAGAAATTCTTGGTGGTGTCACAATAAGATCTAAGTTGCTTCTGATCCCACTTAACTGACTCCATTCGCCACTCAGGTGAGACGTAGGAAACAGACATCTTTGGTAGCCTTATCTGGAAATGGAACGGATTAGTATCACGAATATATCCATAACTGCAGCAGCGGAATAAAACCTCTTTTAGTTCCCCTTATTTTTTCTCGGTCGTCGAATTTGAAGAATTATAGCTGAACTTACTTTGATCAACCATTAGATATATATAACCAGCATCATTTCAGAACCACTCACCGGATTAGCGTTAGCGGGCGGGCCCGGTAATGGCGCTTGCACTTTAAAGTACGGTCTGATAGCCTCCTTCAATCCTCTTGTCATATCACTGGTGTACATGTCCTCAATAAGAAGATTCCGAGCCTTAGGGTCTTCGATATCATCCATACTGACTGCCGGGGTCATCACTAACCGCGGGCGTGTCTTTATTGCATTATCTCGTCCTTCGTCTGGGGGCTCGAACTAATTGAAACGTTTAATTAATAACTGTATGCGAAGTGATTGTAACTAAAGGTCCTTCAAGTGAACTTCCACTTTAGGGTTCTTTTCTTGCATGCATGCATGATGGTAAAAACTCTTTTACGAAACTACTAAATCATACAAGCACTGAAACCTTAGTACCTTAGTAGAATGAACTTTTAATGACAAAGGGTTCCTATTCGATATGGAATCTACTTCAAGCTGTATTGTTTCAATTGAGTGTCAGTTTATCATAAATAGTAAGTACCTATAATTATACTTATTACATACTGGCATAAAAAATACTTCTTTGGTGAGGAGTTTAATGCTGCAAATACTCACAAAGCTCTGTTGAACTTGTCTTGGATTCGTTTGGATTATATCTTTCGGTCTATGATAAAGGTAAAACGGCACGTATTGACAACGCGTATTCCATTCTGTCAAAGCATGAATGTCTTTTAATGGCGGCGGACGTATTCTCATGCAAGATTTTTTGGGCTTATAAACCGTTGGTGGACCAGGCTGTTTTATATCGCCAAAACGATAGTCTTCTTTGACAGTAGTCCCTTCGTTAAATAACATAGTCTCATATCGGTATATTTCTCCATTTTTTATCATTTTGAATTAGAAATTGTTAGGCAATTAAAAAAAGAGACACACTCTTTAAAGTGACAAAAATAATAATGAATCAATGTTACAATACGTATGACATTTGTCGTGTAGATTTTTTCGTTAGTACAGAATGAAGGTTGCTATGCGGTAAGGTTGCTATGTATAATAAGTATGTATTTACAAAAAAAAAAAGTATATATGTATTTATATCAGTTATCTACCCATAGTACAAGCTCTGCTTAGTTTGGGACTAGATGGCGTTGTGTGAATGTGGTACAATATTATATTATTATACGTTTGTATAAAAAAAAATATACTGTGGAAAAGTGACTACACGTACCCTTGAACGCTTGCAACTCAGATGTTATTAAATCTGATTAAATGGATGACTTGGGTTAACCAATGATCTCAAAGCTGGCGTCGGATTAGAATGTGCTTGAGCATCTGAAAGACTAGAATCAAATGTGTTCGTTGACTGCACAAATGGCGTAGTGGTCGCCACGCGCGCTGCCTCCTCCTTTGTGTGATCCACAAATTGTTGTTCTGAGTCTAGGTGTTATTTGTGTCAGTTTCATGTATGTTTGTAAAGTCCCCCGCGACACAATATATTTTTGTTTTTTGTTTGTTTGTTTTTTTAAAAAACAACTCCCGCATTAGGAATAAATCCTGTGTCGCGGGGGACTTTACAAACATACATGAAACGGACACAAAGAACACCCAGACTCAGAACAACAATTTGTGGATCACACAAAGTGTCGTCCCATGAGGGGTTTGAACCCACAACACTCGGCGTAGTAGGAAGCGGCGTGGCGACCGCTTAAACCACTACGCCATCCGTGCAGTCAAAATGCGGAAGTTGTCTTTTTAAAATAAAATAATATGCCCTTTATCTGAACAAGGCCTTAATCAATTTATACTTAACAAATACTATGTCTAGAAGATCCAAGAACAACTCCCACCATCTGCAATCTATACCGTAGAAAGTCTAGGTGCTCATTTATATATGTAAAATCTTGGCCGGCCATGTTACTTTTGGTTTCAAACATTTTTTTTCGTTAAGTGGTATGTGGTATGTCTCACATGACGATTACTCGCAAACTATTGTCTTTACATTTTCAATCGAGTTTTAAAAATTACTGCCTTTATGTTCATTTTCGAATTATCAAACATATCTTTGCAAATTGCATTTTCCTTCTATCGTTTGGTTCGATTAACTTTGGTGGGATAGCTCTATTTATAGACGTTTTTGACGTGGAAAAGCCAATATGGGGATTAGGACCTAGATTTGTAGGCATTTGGTCCATAGAAAGGCGATAGCAATTTGTTTAATTCTGATATTGGTTTTCGCAGAGTGAATGTGGTTACCGAAGACCCAACCACTCCTTACCCCTAACTCTGGAAGGAGGGGTTCACAGTGCAGTAATTCATTAGTGTCTGATGCAGATGTCCATGAACGGCGGTAGTCACTTACCATCAGGGGACTAATCTGCTCGCTAGCCCTCTATGCTATAAAAAAATCATTTAATCAACATCATCAGCCTATCGCAGTCGACTGCTGGACATAGTCCACTCCAATTGCACGCCACTCGGTTCAATCCTTGGCTTCTCGCAAATATCAATTATTAATATAATATTAATAAAAAAACAATTCGTCATAATTTAAATAATTTATTTTAAAATTCATCAATAATTTACACAATATAATAAACATTTGTTACTATGTAGAAAACCACCAAAATAAACATAACCATTTATATCACAAAATCGATAACATCATTTGAACAATTGTGGAATCTCTGAACAAAGTGGACCCTTGGAATACCCGAAAAAAAAACCTTATACATCAAGTTATCGATTTCTAATATTATCGTAGTTAAAGAATAATTTTATTCGTAAAAAAATAGTTTCTACCTCTTCTTTTAGCTAGTTTTAATGATATATGAACAAAAGAGTCGGCAAACACTAATTTCGCCTACCTCGTAAGACATAAATATATTGAACAAATATTTTTTTTATTCTAACGAGATCAAACTCACTTTTTTATAAAAAAATATTAATTAGATTTTTATATACACAATATATTATTATTGAAACGCCAAATCTCTTTTATGTAGCAAGCGTTACAATTTAGCTTAACATAAATTCATTGAAACAAAAGCATGTTACGACATTGAATTTACATTAAAAAGATCATTCTTTAAACATTGTACATTGTATGTTTTTTTTTTGTAACTTTCAAAACTTACTACATGAAAAAATAGATCACAATTTCATCAGATGCTACATTTCGTTGGCATTTAAATATATTAATTTTATAAGATTATTATTATGTTATTTTAATTTAAAGTTGGATCACAAAGCAGCATAATACTTCTGCAACTACCTTGCCAGAGGAAAACCGGTTCAGGTACAAATTCCTGCATTTAGAATATGACGGGCCTGTTGGTCCAGAGGTTAGTGACCCTAACTGCTAAGCTGGAGGTCGTTGGTTCGATTGCCACCCAGGACAAATATTATGTGATGAACACAGTCATTTGTTATGTGTCTGGGTGTAATTTATCCATAATATGTATGTATATTTATCAGCAGTCTGGTAACCATAGTACAGGCTCTGCCTAGTTTGGGATCAGACGGCTGCGTGTAAGATGTGTGAACTATATATAAAACAAAAAATATAAGGAAAATTCATTGTCAAATATATTCCCTACAGCAAATTTTACATTATCATAAACTTTGTTGTATATTTCCAATCGATTCTTGGCGCGTTATTAATAATTATTTAAATTCAGAACGCACTAATTATATAAATACCTAGGAAAACATTCGAAAAATGTTCTAATTTATGTTTTTTTTTTAAATAATATTAAAAGCACTCTTTCAGTCTAAGGCCAGGTAAACACTACAATTGTCTTCAAAGAGTGCGGTATTCCAACGAGTATTTATTTTCTAATGATTGTAAACATAAAATATACTTAGTAGTAACGTGACGACTCGTACTGCTCAGAAGTATTAAGTTTAAGTGAAATGTTTACATCTAGCTTTCCTCCAAATAAATCAATTAAAGTGGGCCAAATTTCAAATGCAAGAGCTCGTTCTAGCAAGTGTTTTTAGACAAAAACAAACCGTACTTTTATTAGAACAAGAGACATAGATAAAGAAAGATATATAAAAATAAGAAATTTACAGATGGAAGTAGCGTTAGTACAAGTTGAGAAGAGTGAAAGTAAAATTGTGCTTATCAGTTAGATAGACCGACAGGATTCGTAAATCTATCTATTTGATGATATACTCATGCTGAAAATAACTATGCTTGAATTGGTACATCTCTCTGTCTGCTGTTACAGTACCCAGTAGGCTGACATCGAAGACATCCAATGAAAAATAAATAAACCGGCTTTTAAAAATTAAATATAGGCCCTCAACACATGGGCAACAGATAGATAGATATATTTAATATGATAAAAAAATTAGGTAATAGTAAAACTCAACTTGTCTTACGATTTTTGTGAATTACGCAGGGTTTAAATGTCAAATATTGAAAAAAAAACCACGTTTAATGAAAAGATTATTATCATTGTGGAACCATGCAATCAGTTCATTCGATTCTGAAATTAAACTCCGACAAACTTTTCGCTGCCGATTGAGTCGCCGACAGAATGTTTCGTTTATGAGTTAACGACAGTACCTTTCAAATACAAACGATTCGCCAACCAGATTCCAGAGAAGAACTGACTGTATATAGAAGGAAGAATTGTCAAAATAATGTGTCCTAGTAGTAGCGAGTAGAAGTAAGATTCTGTCGTCGATTGACTCATTAATGAAGCGATCTGTAGGCAAAACGTTCGGGCGGTTCTGTCGTTGATTAGGTCTTATATAAAACGTTTTGTCGGCGAATCGTTCATATATGAAAGGTTCTGTCGTTGAATAACTCATAAACGAAGCATTCTGTCGGCCTCTCATTCGGCAGCGAAATCGTTCATTCTTACGCCTAATTTTAGGAAGTGTTTACAAGATTAATGCAATAAATATATGAAACACAAGAGTCTTTATATAAAATTCGTTTATAATCATACATTTAATGCCTAATAAAATAAATTCCACACTTTAAATACTCATCAAATTAATCATTAATATCCCTAATACCAATTGAAACATGACACAACTCTAGGTAATTGTATTATTTAGCTGCGTACAATTTTATTGATATTAAACCTCATTTGACCACCAAACAAATTGACAATGATATTGGCGCCAAATTTGACGTTTCTTTAAAAATGCCGATTCTCAATTCAAATAAAACTGCAATAACATCATGAGAAGGCATTGTAGGAAGAGCAGAACAGCCGAATAGAGAAGATTAGCTATATTTTTCTTTTTACCATATTGTTTCGATTGTTTATGTCAATCTGGAACTTTGATCTCGGCCCAGATTGGACAGAATGGAGAAGCAGGGCCTCCCCAGGACCAGCCTCGGGGTATAGCTAAATGGCTTAATCCTGTCTTGATGGCACCAGAGTGTCCGTTGAAATTAGTACTATCTAACATCCCGGGGCAAAGGATGCTGCTTTGGCCAGTAGCTGTGACGTCAACTGTGGTAACTATTTCCTCGTTCAATATCGACTGACATGTCTTGAATGCTGAAACAGAAATAAGACTAGGTAATTAGATTAAAACTATATTAACAAAAATATTATAGCGCCATTGATTTAATCTTATAGGAATATTAGCTAGATTACCTAAGATTAAAAATTGGTGTAAAACACTTTCTGCAGTTAATATAACAATGTAGTATAAATTGGTATATGTTAGGTGGACCTTTTTTAATTAACATATTTTTAAAACGTTTTCACGTGCACATACATTAGACTTATCGTTGTTATTCTAATTTGATAAAATGTTTGGCCAGGTTTTTAGGTTTTATGGTTCAGTTATAAAATAGGCGTCTAAAGCGTTAATAGAACCAGTTCAGGATCACACACGTCATACATTTTATGGTTTAAACAAACATACTATATTGACATCACAATTCTTCAGTGCCATTTAAGCATTCTTAATGCTCACTTGTGTTATATTAATATTATCTATGATTTGTATGGAACTTTAAGAGCGCCATCTAGTTTTCCATTTCAGAATTATGGTCAGTGACACTAGATGGCGCCATATGAATGTATCTAGTTTATTTTACTTAAAGTGAAACGTGGACAGGAAATAATCAAATGGAACAGAAAATGTAACTGAATTAGAAAAGTAATTATGCAGCAAAAATCGTATTTTGTGCATTGACGTCACCCTATACTACGCGACATCGAGTATTAATAGTGTGATGCTAGTCATAGAATTTGATAGGATCGGATTCGACGCAATACGAAGAACTCGTGAAGTTCGATGGCATCTGGTTCTAATATAATGTTTTGGCCTTTAGACTTATATACATACGTTTAAAAAATATAACTCTCATTCAGCAGTTGGAATAAAAAAACCGTTAAATGTCATTGTTGGACTAAAAAAGGCCTGTGATGTACGGTATACTGAAAATTTCATGACTGGCATGAGCGACCAACTTCGTTTTACTTCCTTACTTTCAGAATTTTTTTGTTTTTGGTCACCTTAAAGATTACTGTTAAGGACAAAATATACAAATTAAAAAAGTATGAAAAGTTGATGACGGTGCGATCTTGTAATATGCAAATAAAAGTCAGGTCAAAACTGAGTTTTTATTCTTTTTTAATTAGCAGTGAACGACCTATCGTGATTATTGAAAATCCTTTTCAAAGTACAAGAATTAGTCAATTTAAGATTTGATTGATAACACAAATCGATTGCGCTCCATATTGCTTATCTATATCCTCCTTGTGTTTATCACATAATATATTATATGTTAGTTAATTACTAAGGACATAGAGGATTAAATTTTAGACGTGTCCATATTTTTACATTTGATATTCGATTAAATATTTATTTGGCCTTGAGGTTGTATTGGCTTATTTCTTTTGCTTCAAGTTAAAGGTATCGTTTTTATTAATAATGACGCCAACGCCAATGACGGAGAGAGAGAGAGAGAGAGAGAGAGAGAGAGAGAGAGAGACAGAGAGACAGACAGAGAAGTTATCTCGAGCTACGTATATACAGTCTTGCTCGTAGATGTCACAATAAAAGAAGAGAGGAAGTTCTAGACATAGATAGAGTCAAGATTAGACAAAGCAATCAATAAACGTTAAAAAGAGGGTAGGCTCTGAAAGAGTGCCCCGAGGTATTGAAAAGTTAGTAAGGGACACTCGTTACTAAAACCGAACATCTCGTTTAAGTTTTACAGCAGTGATGTGTGTTTGAGGTCACAAGTCCAAATAGCTTTCTTTGTCACCTGTAATTTGATCAATTTGGTGAAGGCCGCGGCCGTTACCATTAATATTTGATACAGCTTGGGCCGCTGTGAAAACGTTGTACGACCTTGAGAGGGTTTGTTATCTCCGTAACAATTTGTGGTTAATAAAAAAAATATATTCATTTTTGTTGAGCATTGACGGAACTTGTTGAAAAACGACTTCACTTCATGTTCGCTCATTTTTCATCACTTGTCCATGCCACTTAATTTCTTGTGACACCACACATTACACACATCAACATTTCATTTAGATGCTACATGCTGGCGTCTCTATCCGTTACCCAACATTCAAATCCATGCAGGTCTGCAGAGCTCATTATCGTCGAGCAAATCGTCCTTTCATATTTAATAAGAAACCTTGGAGCACAAATTGTTTCGCTTATCTGACACCACTTCAGCCGCATACTATGTTTATAGACACAGTGGGTCGAAATTATTTAATTAGACTGTTATAGTTAAATTGGTAAAGCTCTGAAAGGGAGGTTTTTTTTTCACGGTTTCGTTTAAGGTAAGAACGAATAAACATATTCACGTCATCCGTCAAACACTTAAGTGTTTTTCCATAGCGATGGCTTGTTGTTCTTTTCAATAACAAAAGAAATTCGCCGGTCATTTGTTTTCCTATATTTATGTCACCAAGTGAGGTGAAAAAAAAGTATATATATCAGTAAATGGTAGGTATACTAAAGATGCCATCTTTGGTTCTACATTAAACAAAACACTTCGCCACTTATGTTTACCAGAGGTTTACTGTAAATTCTGGTGGGGCAAAAAAAAAAAGATTTAAGTATGCCTTATCATCGTCAATGACATTTTTTTATGGTTCTAAACTATTTTATCTAACTGCTGAAGAAGGCTAATGTTTTTCAAGGTATGTATGTTTGTTTTAGTCTTAGGGTACGAGTCGCTTTCATTTTTAGAGTGCAATTTAATAATTTTTCTGTTTTTCACATCACATCAACAGCCTATAATAGTCCACTGCTGGATATGGGCCTCTCCTTAGAAAGGAGGTTTTGGCCTACTATAAAACTTTGGCCAGACGGGTTGGTATAAGGTTTGTGTCAAGTAGTAGTTTGCTCCCTTACTACACCCACGGGATGAATAGGGGTGGTGACATTCCGTACTTTTAATCCGTCACCACATGGATTCTGTTTTTCACTATCTTTATAATGAGATTACTTACATTGCACGTTACTTCTATTCCTAAATTCACCAATAAAAACCAGTTCTATGCGGCTGCTTTCTGTTAAATCTGATATGCTCCTCAAGCGTGTGGAGTCTTCCGAGTTCAAGGTGTCCTTACACAGCATGTTCACCACGATAAGCGGTCGACTGCACATGAGGAACGCTGGAAAGAGGAGAAAAATACGATCAGACAAATATCAGGATTGGTTCTAAGGTCAAGGGTCTTATGGTCACTTTTTTCTTGATCTGAATAATGACTAACCAAAAATATATTGAATTCCCTCAATTGTAACCGATCATATTGTGCGCGTTACCTGTTGCTTAAGGAGTTTCAGAAGTAAAGCAATTTCAGAAATATTTTTCAGAAAAATTCAGAAATATTTTTGCTTCAGAAATATGTTGATGATTATTTTAACAAAAAAGAAATAACCCCATATCAGCGCATTTCATCTATTCTTTATGGTATTTGTCTAGCCAAAGATCGTCTGTAAGATATTGTTTTCAACGATATTCTCGTAGTCCCCTTTGCATATTTTCATTAGACGTATTACTTAAACATTCAGTTGGTGTAGACTACAATTTTATTTTTTATGTAATCTATTCTAATTAACTCATGCACCGCCATCATACCCAATTTCCTGCAGTTTTCGCAGTTTGTTTTTCGCAAAAGGTTTTTGGTTGATTTTTTATTATGATGGTTCCCTTGCGAGACGCAACTCTAAACCATTGAGAATGGAGTCAAAATGGATAGTGAGAGCCCTCTATCCATTTCGAATAGGATATGAACAGGCCAGGGTAGCGATAGGATAGGCTACTAGGATACGAACAGGCTGGGGTAGCGATAGGAGAGGGCCATGAACCTATGCATGTATTTATATACAGCTCTCCTATAACTCTTCAGAACAATTGTTGATTTTGATTGACAGTATGAAATTACTTAAATGCACCAATATGACCTTATCATTGGAAAGGCCAAGGAAAGTTTATAAATTATATGCGAAAGTAGAACACACTGAATTAATGTTCCGAGTTTTGGACCTTGAAACAAAAACGCATGCGCCGACGCAGTTTCTATGTTCTTTGCTTTTTTATGCGCAACTTGACATCAAAACTTTAGAATTTGTGGATTTAATTTACAAGTATATGTATTTAAATTGTGCAAATTCTAATGAAAGGTCAAAAGTACACACAACAGGTGAAGGGTTGAGTGAAAGGAAGGACTGTAGGATAGAGATCTTGCATAAAATAATGGTCTCCACATATTGCGTAATAAAAGATTTTTGTCCTATTGGTATGATCAGACCAGGGCACATTCTAGGTCGGAATATTTAATACCATTTGAGGATACACAATCTCCTGAACCTCTTCTAAATAAAGTGATTACATTTTTATATTATTTTAAAAAGATAACTCCCGCATTAGAAACATATAACATCCTGTGTCTCGGGACACTTCTTAAACATACATGAAACGGACACAAAGAACACCCAGACTCAGAACAACAATTTGTGGATCACACAAAGTGTTGTCCCATGTAGGGATCGAACCCACAAGACTTAGCGTAGTAGTAAGCGGCGTGGCGACCGCTTAAGACACTACGCCATCCATGCAGTCATACAGCACATGCTGAATACTACTAAATTTACCGTTCTACGATCCTCTAGTGGCACTGTAGCCACATGTCCATTTATACCAAAAAAACAAGCGATCATTTGCTTCAAAGTGCTTTCTGAACGAATGACTTTTGTTGGGTTCGACTCATCTTGGAACACCCAAACCGTTGATTGTTGTTTAGTTTCAGGATCATACGCATATATCCAAGATTCATCACCAATTTTTTTTTACAGCTTAATGTTCGTGTAATATTTTATATATACTCGTCATACTTATTCCCAGAGACGCCTCTATCTCGGGATATGTAACATGACGATCTTGCATTATTACTTCCCGCACCGCATCATTATTTTGAGGTACAACAACCGATTTAGGGTGACCTTCTTTAAATTCGTCCGTAAGCACAGACCACCCTCGATTAAAATCACTAAACCGTGATACACAGTTGCTTCTGATGGTGCTTCGTCCCCAAAAGTCGAAGTGAGTGTGTGTTAGTGAGAACGTTGCCCTACCTACAATATTGACTAATTTGCATAAAATCAATAAGATAAAAAAATATGAAAAATGGGTGCCTCGTGATTTGACTGATCTGCAGAAAGTAACTGCGTGTTGAAACTTGTGTTGCCTTGATGCATCGGTACAGAAATGAAGGAATATTGGATCGAATTTTGACATGTGACGAAAAGTGGATTGTTTACGATAACCGTAAGCGAAAAATGCAATAGCTGACCCCAGGTCAAACGCCGCAATAGTGCCCTAAAGCAAAGCTTACCAATAAAAAGGAAATGTTAACTATTTGGTGGTCTCTTCATAATGTTATTCACTATAGCTTTCACAGGTCTGGTCAGGTAATAACAGCATACACACTGCACGAGAAACCGTTATAACTCTATTGGAGCTGCAGTTAGAAACCATACGTCATCCCGTACTCGTCACACCTTGCTCTAACGCACTACAATTTTCTGCGTGGTAAGAAAATTTCGGAGGCAGTACAAAATGTTTTCACACAGTTTGTCGAATCTAGATCCCTAGAGTTCTATCGTAAAAGCATAAAAGAACTTCCATTTATATGACAGCATTGTATAGATAAAATATTTATATATTTGGATTAAATAAATACGTTATGTCTTAGAAAAAATCGAGTTTTTATTTTTTCAGTTCAAATCGGCAATTTCATTCTTTAACCCCTATTCATTTCATTCATTCATACTTTGAGGTATCGAGGTCTACAAAATAAAACATTTATTTATAGATTAAACAATATCAACAATAAAGAAATTATAAAATTAACATGCATGACAGTTTCATCGACACCGTTCACCGAATCGCCGACAAATATGGGTGGAGACCATCAACATAAAGATCGGCATAAAGAATTAACCTTTGAGGCGCTGGTAATAAGGTTGAAGCCATGTGGCTAGCCGGTCAGTGTGTGAATGTCGACACAGTGACTATGGGAGTCAATTAGCATTGGTTTTTAACTGCGACGGGGACGAGACGATTATGATCGTGTTGATATGCACTTTATTTTATACGATGTAGCTACTTCCTCTTCCTTTCCTCGTTAAGGTTAAGCGTGTATTAGCCACATGTTTAAAACGTAAACTTCGTATAGGCACAGCATAAATAATCGTAGGTAATAGTAACAGTAGTATATCAAATTGGTAAAGGTAATTTACAGATACATTTAAAGTCCAAGTAACTTCTCCGATCACAGGTAAGACATACAGGTACGTGACGTGTTTCAGTTCCGTTTATCCATCCGAGATTTGCTGTACCCTAGCTCCATTGCTCTATCTATTTTCCTTATCCAAATTTATCTTCCTCCTAAGTCATACGATGAAAAGACTATTCCGAACGAGGGTAAGCGACAGGCAGTCATAAAAGAAATCCGCCATAAAAGAAAGGTCAAAAATCTTTTGCAATACACTAAACTCTGCTTTAGTTTTTTTAACTCTGCATCGCCCTAAGGTCGACTGGTAGAAAATGCCTACGGCATTAAGTCCGCCTGTGCATAAAGTATAAATAAATAAATAAAATAAATCGTGGCGCGGACTCCGAATAAAATTGACAAAGAAATTGGGTGTCCTTCCCAATTTCTTTGTCAAATGTCAATTTCTTTGTTGTTTGGAAAATGATGATTATTATTATTTATAATGAAATAAATTAATAAGTTATTTAAATTTAGAAATCCCATTCGTAGATTACGGGGCTTTCTTCGTAATCTGTCTTATGTACTGCACTCGTATAACTGAAGGAAATAATATTAAAGTAATGAAATGATAAACCGATTAAAGTACTAAATTGCTGATTTAGTATTTGATTATTAACGAGAAATAGCCTATCAATTTTTTATTGTTTTTTTTTACCTGTATTGTCAGGAAAATAAAACAAATTTGATTACAGTAATCATTCCAAATGAGATTTAATAAAAATAAAAGTTAGTATTGTTGAATACGAATGATTGAGCACTATACATATTGTATCAGTGAATAGTAGAATAGTGTAATTGTAATAAACTGTGTACCATTTATACAAATAGATGTCGAAAGGATTTATTGTTTACTAGTAGAGAAAATATATAGTTCAAAGGTGGGTATATAGTTCAAATAAAAATCATAGCAGGCAAAACAAGGACAATGAAAACGCACAACATAAATCGCATAACTATCAATTTTGCCGGGATGACACTAGTCTTTTTGTGGTTTCAGACTGTAAGCTTAAGCGTTAAGCCATTCTACCGTGATTGAGTAACAAACATTAACAGTAGTAATATAGTTGAAAACAAGCTTGAATTCTAAGAAATTTCATCAATTTAGCAATTATTATACTATTTCCACTATTCGTACACAATACTTAGTCTGGTCCCAAGTATGCTATCTTGTTTGTACTTAGTGAAAGCGAATGTTTTGAAAACAGACAGACAGTTTTTTTCTCCTAGAGCAGATGCATTGTTATTGTATCCGAGAATATACTACACGTCTTCAATACAAAAAAAATAATACAAATAATCAAGAATAAATACGAAACTGTTTATTAGGTCATAGTGAATTTGATTTTAATAAATTACAGTTTAAAAAGGACTGAAAAGTAGAAAAAGCTCTATTATCATGCTATCTTTACTTATTCTATTTTCTAGTACTCGTCAATATGAATCACATGAATCTAAACCCGAAAGGTTTAATAGTAGCATCTGAAGAGTTCCACCATCTATAGTACTTTTTGGCTTCATCATTAGCCAAGGTGCCAAATAACAGTATTTTTATCCAATAAATATATATATATATACGAAGTTTAATTTTCATTGATAATTTGAAGAAGGTTAATATTGACTTCCAAGATTTGTTTTCTTATGTTTCAAATCAATAATCGATAACTAATAAAAGTGTGTTTAAAAATAAAAATACATATTTAATCGTGTGTGTTAAGAGTGATTGCGTTATTGCACCTGTAATGAATGCTATCGGTTTACTCAACGAAAATACATTCACAGAAGCTATAATCTGTAGATATGGTAGAAAGCTTTATCTTAAAGATTACCTACAAAAC